TCACTCGGAAAGCCATTTCTGGCATAGACGGGGATGCTATGCCGAGCGCAGCAACAGCTGATGAGCCCGAAATTCTCGAAAACTGCGACGCTCGCTCACTCGGTGAGCCGCCGAGCCAGATTTACCGTGAGGCTTTGCATTTCATAGTTTATCCTTCATTTTCCCAGCAATGGGCGCTGAAGAAACCTCCCAGGGCGTGCAACGGCACCACTACTTGCTTGGTGAACAGAGTGTTGTCGCAGCGAGCCGGGGGATGGAAAAACCCGCGCGCTCGTGCGCTTCGGCGCTATAGTGCTTTGGCTTGATTTTCTCTCTTTGAAGCTGCGCCGCGCTGCGCAGACAACGCCGCAACGTGCGCCTCTTGGATGTGCTCCATTTTCATGGTGCCGCACCGCTCCGCAGCGCGCGCCGCTCCCCAAAGAATCCCGCGCCACCGCCTCGTGCGCCGCGCCTTGCGTGGCGTGCCTGGGCGTGCCTGGCCCGGCCCGGCCCAGACGGCCGCGACGAACACCGCCGTGCAGAGATACGCTCTCCGGGCACGCGGTGCCGGTTGTGTTGCCAGGCCGTGCTCCGCCGCCCTGCCGCCGCACTGGTGTAAATCAACTCAGAAATTTTCTGATACTTTTGCATATCAGAACATTTCTCATGTCTGGGTTCTGATGTTTTTTCGGACACCTATTTCTGATGTTTGTGTTCCTGATACCTCAATTTTCTGATGACTTTAGTTCTGATAACATCAGCTGGACTCATAAAGAAATATATCAGAACAATTATTTTTTTCTGTAAATATATATTTTGATCTACTTGAGACTCGGAAACGGGGAAAACGTCTTCGGGGGGTCGAAACCGAGTCCGATCCAAATCTGCAGTCCAAATTGAGCTAGCTCGCCATCAACTCTCAAAACGACAGTAAATGTGATCCGATCTCATTGAGATAAAAACTGGCCTAGCCAAATCTTGCAAATAAGACACTCACCAAATTTGAAACTGAAATTACGTAAACTTTCTATTTTACAGGGATCTCGTTTTTTGAACATCAGATATCTGAAACATTTCTGACGATTATATTTCTGATAACTAGCAGTTATCAGAAATCAGATCGACTTATCAGAAAGGTCTCTTTTTCTGATGTCTCTATTCTGATAACCTATGAAAGTATCAGAAAAAACATTTCTGATGACCGCTTTCTGATAAATAATTGATGTTATCAGAAAATACTCGAAATCTGATGTTTTTTTGTCAAGTTATCAGAAAATCCACCGTTTATCAGAAAATTTCTGAGTTGATTTACACCAGTGCGCCCCGCACCACCCCGCACCGCCCCGCGGCATCTGGCGAGGTTAAGGAGAGAGTACGGCCATCTGCAGCACACGCCGCAGGGCTTTTTGTCCCGTTTGCTGCCTTGTCGGTCGTTTTTGTTTGTATCTCCCTTCTTTCCTGAAACGGCCGAGGCTGCCAGAGTAATGCATGCGGGTCCAATGCTGGAACTTCCGTCGGCCTCGGCGCCAGCCGGCCGGCCTCGGTCAACAGCCGCGCCAGAGGCAATATGCACAGGCCGAGGCAAAGGCCGGCCTCGCCGAACCAACGGCAGCCTCTCTGGCCTCCGCGCCGTCCTCTAAGAGGTCGCACATTCACAGCGAAAAACGCTCATGAAACATGCAGGCCCGAGCAGGCACCGCGTGCTCCCTACATCATCATCAGCATCATCTTCTGGGCGGACCACAGCTGCAGTCCGGGCCCAGAGTGGTGTACCGGATGTAGCCAAGGATGTAGCACAGGTCGCCCCCCCCCCTCTTTTGCCACGCGGCGCTACCGGGGTGCCCCGCGGAGGCGGCGGAACGCCTCGGCCCGCTGGGAGCATCCGTCAGAGGTTTCGGCTGGAGGTTTCTCCAGGCGGACGTTGCAGGAAGGGCTCGTTAATAAACCACTCGCGACGGAATCGGGCGGGGGAAGGAGACGCCCGCACGAAGGGCTTGGCGCGGCGCGGCGCTTTCTTCCGACAGCGAGACCTCTTGACGCGGCGCGACGTAAGCGGCTCTCGAAAGCCACTCCGCTTTCACTTCCCTTTCGCTCGGTGGCGATTCCCAGATTCCTGCCCGGCGAGCCTAATTAAAACTTTGATGCTCTTGCTTTTATTCGCAGCGCTGCCTGGAATTCATTAGACTGGAGCGGCTCGGCAAGAATCTAGTCTGGACGTCGAGGACTGGCGGCTGGGGCTGGCGCGGCTGGGGCTGGCGGTGAGGAGGTGAGCCGGCCATCTCGCTAACACCGGGCCCCGAAATGGATAAGGCTGGAGCCATTTTTGACTCGATGGGATGGGGTCAGTCCTCAACGGAGGCTCCCCGAAAACGGAGACCGGGTGGAGACCTCGGCGTAATCCTGGATTTAACTTAAGCGATGACCTCGATTCCAAATACGATTATGCCAAATAAGTTTCCCTGGCCTCCGCCACTGGAAACCAACTAATTAACGGCAGGCATAGCGCGCGGCGGGCGGGCAGTCGGGGCTGGCGGACGGGCCGGGCAGGCAGGGCTGGCAGGCGCGGCACTCAGCTGGCCGGGGCTAATTTGCAATGTACAGGACGGCCCGGCCCCGGGCCCGGCCCGAGACTCGAGGGCTGCCTCGCCTTCATGCAAGTCCTACCACGTCCAACCTTCACACAGTGATGTGCAGCCCGGCTTGCCCAAGGGGCAAACGAGGAAGGCGAGTGGACGACGTCCGGACGTCGCGTGTGTGTACACAGCTAAAATGAAGGGGCCAGCAAGCCAGCAAGCCCCTCGGTGCGAGTCTCGGCAGCGTATCGGGCGCGTCATTCTGAGGACGGGGCGGGGAGGGGGGCGGCTGCTACAAGTGCCCCGCGGGAAGTGCTGGCGGCGAGCCAGGCCAAGCCCAGCCAAGCCAGGCCTGGGTGGCGCGGGGCGTGACCCGGCGGGGCGGCCGGGGCGGCCAGCAACAAGTCTGGTCGCTGGGATGATGGTGCCTCCCGTCGAGAAAGGAGGAAAGAATGGCGTGATGGGCTTGTTTGGATAATTCTGCCCCATTTACATCCATAAATCATTAATCCGGCAGCCGTGGTGTAATGAGGCCAGCCCGGACCAGCCACTGCTGATCGGGAGGACTCGCCGCTGTTGTGGCCTTGACTGCGACGCGCTACGACGCGCGTCCCGGGGCCTCGGGGACTTGGGCACTTCGCGGCGGCCGATGCCAGTTAGCACGGCGACTTGAGAACTGTTTGCGCGTGCCGCCCCGCCGCGGACCGGGCTGGGCTCTGCGCGCGCCGCAAAGACTGGATGCCTCACATCCACCATTAAGGGTGCCTGGCGGCGTCAGTATTACTGTGAGGCTGCCGTACCAAGTTAAGCAATAGCAACACATCAACAGATCAACGCGGCCCCTCCTAAGAAAACCACCCTACTCGCCTGGGCGCTAGGAAACAATCCTAGCTCGCTGGGGCGCTAAGACCATCCTAACTCACCACGGTGCTTGGAAGCCATCTTAACTCGCACAACGACAAAATGCGGCCAGCGCAATCGGCAAAGATTCTTTCGCCACAACGGCCAGAGAGAGCGCTTGCGAACTCTATGAGTGCCGTTGGAATGCTGACGTACATATTCAGAGTCAGACTGGTTCTACTTTTTTTTATTGACGCGGACGCCCGCCTGATAATGTGTGGCAAGGGTCTAAAGTTCCTTCCACTACCTGTCAAAATTGTCCTCAAACGAGTTAAAATAGTCCCCCGGCTTCCGTGCGAGTTAGGACGGTCTTTTAGCGCCCCAGCGAGTTTAGGAGGGGTCGAACACGTCAACTGATCAACAGACCGGGACGGTTCGGGCATGGCACAAAATGTCTAAAACCAGGAAGTATGTTGAAGAAAGTGAGTACTTAGGACATCCTAAGACATTTGACACAATAGTTTTGACCCAGGCGCGGATACAGGGAGGGGGCAATGGCGTTTTTGCCCCCCCCCCCATAGCCCCCAGATAGCCGCCTGAAAGGTAGGCAAAAAGTGCTACTTTGCCCCCCATAGGCCGCATCTGGATCCGCCACTGTTTTGACCACGGCCACCGTAACCCTTACTCCCGAACGCCCCGATCCGTTGATCTCTTTATGAGATGATCTGTTGATTATCCTTAACTTGATACAGCCGAAGCCCCCAGTGTCATTCCCCAGTACCAGCCCCGGCGGCCGCGTCAGGTGCAGCCGAGAAGTGTCAGTAACACGAGCAGGGGCGCCTCGGGTGAGTGTAGTGCGTGGGCGTCAGTGCCGCTACATGTCCTCCGCGGCTGCCGAGGCACGGCCCGAGGGGGAGTGCACTCTCAAAACCAGTCACCCGACGACGATTACGCCTACTTCGCTATCTATTACGCCCCAAAATTACGTGGATACACTGGTAGAACTCAAGCGTATTTTTACGCCTTTCTTCAAGCGTAGTAGAACTACGCCCGGCATCAAGCGTAGTTCTACATTTCGCCCCTCTCCCGCCTATCTAAATGCATGGGAGGATTTATCTTCTCCACGCTTGACGTCAAGCGTAAAGTCTTCAAGCGTAGTTGTATGCTTGAATGAGGCATACAACTACGCTCCAGTTTTACCAGTGTATGGCCGAAACTAGCGTAAAACAATTCGGAAAGAGGTAAAATTCTGATAAATATGGCTATTACGCTGCTACTCAGTGCACTATTCCGGTTGCTGTTACGGATGAAGTGACCCGACTATTACGCGAGTGCAAGCCCCCTCGGTAGAGTGCGTCCCGTGCGTGGTGGCGCGCGGCGTGCCGTGGCGTGGCACGGCGTGCCGTGCCGTGCCGCCGTGCCGCCTGCCCCGGGGCTCTGGGTCGTCGCGGTGCCTCATCGGCGCTGAGCTCGGAGCGCCATCTGACGGCCGGGGCCACGCCTGCAGTCTCTGCCGCGAGGGGTAGCGGCGCGGCGGCTCGGCGCGGCGCGTCTGAGTGTGGTGTGCGACGGCAGGAGGAGGGAGGGAGAGAGAGAGTGTTACACAGGTGAGAAAAAAGCAGGTAATCTGTGTTCAGGGAGCACTAGAAGTTGACAGAGAGGGAGGCGAGTGAGCGTCGCTCGCGCATGTTGCTGAGGCCCACGTGCACGCCCGCGCTGATGGCCGTGCCGGCCTGCCGGGGCACCGCGAGCGCGTCCTCCATCGAGGGGAGCAGGGCGTGGCTGTGCACCTCGGACACCACCTGCAGCAACAAACTAGTTCAGAGGCAAGTTTCGGCCAAGTTTACTGAGACATGACCCCCCGCCGAGGGGGGATCTCTCGCTGTAGTTCGACACTAGTTGGCGCATCAACTTTACGATTAGTTGGCCGCATATTACGTGATTGTTGTCGTAATTATTTCGCGTGGGCGGCTTACCTCGGTAATGGTGGGTGACTGGAGGTGGTAGGGCTGGCTGCTGATGAGGGTGACGGCCACCTTGGGGTCGACAGGGCCTCGGTGCGCGGGCTGGTAGTCGATGAGGCCCTGGACGCGACGGAGCACGCAGTCGAGTGCCGCCTCCAGCACGGCGTCGTCGTGCCCCAGCGCCTCCCGGATCTGCGCCGGCCAGGGAGAAGCGCGGTACACCCGCTCCTCGGCCTGCAACATCGCCAGCGGGGTCGTGGAGCGGCGGCGTGCGACGTGCGGCACGCGTGCGCCGCCACCGCCAGCGCGCAAGCGCCCGCCAAGTCGGGGATGGGCCACCCGCGCAGCAGCCGTGCTCTCTGGCTGCTGGGTGGCCTGCCTCACGTTACCATTACCACTACGGGCTAGACCACAACTGATTGTATGCCATTGGCGCTCACCTCACGGTCCAGCTTGAGGAGGTACTTGAGCAGGGCGGTGGGCAGCCCGCTGGGCTGGTTCTGCAGCGGCTTGATGGCGGCCTGCATGGCGTTGGTCGACGCGTCCAGCAGGAAGGCGGTGACGTAGCTGTCCCGGCTCTGCGCCAGGACTCGGGCGGCCTCCAGGGCGACGCAGCCGCCCCAGCCGCGGCCGGCCAGCGTGTAGGGGCCGCTGGGCTGCACGCGCGCCACGGCCTCCACCACGGCGGCCGCAGCCTCCTCCACGGATGACGCGCTGCGCGGCGGTGACACCACCACGGCGGTGGCGTACATGTAGCGGGCAACGGAGCTCAGCTCACTGGTCGGGGAGTCACCGAGGCCGGCCACCAAGAACACGGGTGGTACCTGGAAAGAACAAGACTTGCATAACCATGGCGACCAACTACTGGCGACGCTGGCGGCTCCCGCGACGGCCGAACCTCCTTGTTCCGACGGTCCTTGGGGCCGCCGATGAGGGACGGCAGCACGCGCATGGCGACGTCGCGCTGCAGGGACTGCCCCAGCCTCCGCAGGGCCTGCACCGAGTCGGGCAGCAGGTCCGACAACGCCCCGCCGCCGTCTTCTCTTCCAGCTTGGCCGGCGTCCGCCGCTATCTGCATCACTTCCACGGTGTGCACCACGGGGTCTCTCGCGCAACGGAGAGCCTGGCGGCAGACAAGGTGGTCGTCAAAGCTGGCCGTTAAACAATGCGTAGCCGCACGGGCGTAGACGCTCACCTCAGCCAGCGGCACGGTGCGCACGTCGGCGGAGAGGTCCCCAATGGACACGAGCACGCCGGGGAGACCGTTCTCCTTGCGACAGCGCACCACTTCGATGAGCGCGCTCAGGTCGTGCGCCCCCTCGGCCAGCACGGCCAGCGTGCAGCGCGGCGCGCGCGTCGCCACGTCGAGCGCACGCACGCGCGCGGCCGGCTGCTCCAGGGCCAGCACCAGCCCCAGCGGGGACTGCTGCGCGGCCGCCTGCGGTGCGAGGAAGAGAAAAAGCCACAGTGAGACTTGCCCGGCCCGGACTCGCCTGCTTTGCCGGGTAGGTCGCGTTGCTCACCTTGACGAGCTGCTGGGGGTCCGCGGGCTGCAGCGCGCGCACCGTGGCGCTGTAGTGCACGGCGAGCTGCCCCAAGCGACGCGATACCCACGCGCTGGCCGCGCGAACCGCCGTGCTGGGAGCCAAGCTGACGTCTCGAGCGCCGATGGACAACAGCCACTCCGCCAGCGACACGGCCTTGGCGGCCGGGCCAATCACCAGGCAGCTGCGGCCCGCGTCCAGCAGCGGGGTGCTGCGGCTGTCTGCGCGCGAGGACAAGGCCAGCACCACCTTGCCCGCGCCCTCCGCCACACGCCTGCGCACAAGCGACATTGAGACTCCTGCTCCCGGCTGCTGTTAGAAGGCGCAGCAGTGAATGGCTGTCGATACGTGCCTCTGCGACCCAGCCAGCGAGTGTGGAGGAGCCGTGTGGAAGGGCAGGGGCTGCACGGTGCCGTCCTTGATGGCAGCGCGCACCGCTTCGTGCACGCGTCTCTTGGTGTCCTCGCGCGCCTTGAGCGGCCAGTCCCAGGCCAAAGAGTACGCCGACGTGCTCAGAATGAAGGTCGACAAACCTGCCCGACAAAGCCAAGGCGTGAGTCTGCCTGGGATCTGGCCGGCCTGGGGGTGTCCAAGTGTGAGGACCATACTTACCCACGCTGCCTCCAACATCCGCGAGGCCGGCGCCGACGTGCAGCACGCGCCCGTACATCTTCATGAGGCTGAGGACGCTTCTGAAGGCATCGCCGCCGCCCTGGCTCAGCGCCACGTCCACGCAGGCCTTGGCGCCGAAGCGGCAGGCCAGTTCCCGCGCGAAGTCCTTGCTGGAGCCGACAACCGTGTCCAGAGAGGCGCTGGGGAACTGAACACGCAGGTTGGCCTCCTCGCGGCGGTCCTTGACCGTGGCCACGACGCGGCACCCCGCGCGCAGCAGCAGTGCGATGGCGGCGTTCCCCAGCGCTGAGGCACCGTCCACCACCAGGGCTCGCTCGCCACGCCGCACGAGCAGCTGGAAAGGGGATGGCATGAGAACGACGTGGACGTCACGCACGAGCGTCCGCAGCGCGCTCCAAACTCACGAGCCGGGAGCAGCGAGAAGCAGACCAGCACCAACCTGTTCATAGACCGCGAACGCGGCCGTGGCGTACACGAGCGGCACGGTGCTCGCGGCCTCGTCCGACCAGCCCGGTGGCACGGGCCACTCCAGGATAGCGTCGGGCTGCAACGGCCCCGCGCTCGACGTGCACACGCCCATCACACGCACGCCGTCCGCGCGCACGCCCGTGTAGTCCAGCAGCCCCACGGCCGTGCGCCCGTCCTCGGCGACGTCGCTGTACGGGTTGAGGCCCAGGCACTTGAGCTGCAGTGTGTCCATGTGCAGCTGCCTGGTGCGCTGCATGCGCGGCCCGCCCGCGGCGCCCTCGGCGCCCTCGGCGGCGGCGCTCAGGTTGGCCAGGTGCTGGCGGTGCACCCAGCCCCAGCGGCCGCCCTGCAGCATGTTGATCCGCAGCCCCAGCCGCAGCTGCGCGGCGTAGAGCGGCGCGTCCAGGGCGAAGGGCGGCGCGGCGGCGTCCTGCACGAAGACGCACTGCGCGCGGCTGCCGCCAGGGGCCGCGGCCAGCGTCCTCACAATGTCCGGTAGGGCCTGCTGAGCGACCCCGCGGAACACGAGGTACACCTCGGCGGCCTGGCAGAGCGACAGGCGCTCCAGCGGCAGCTCGCCCTCCACGTGCAGCACCTCGCTGTCCAGGTTGACGACGACGGCGTGCTTGAGCAGCGCGTATCGCCGCCGGTCCTGCTCCACGCTCAGCAGCAGGCGCAGCTCGGCCGGAGGGGAGAAGCCCGGCGGCAGCTCTGCCAGCAGCAGGCCGCGTTGGCGGCGCACGGCGTCCAGGGCGGCGCGCAGGCCGGCCGCGTCGCTCAGCACCAGGGCGGCGCTGTCCCCCACGTCGGCCACGCTCGCCACGCGAACATGCAGCTGGAAACAAACGCAGCGCTTGTGTCGATGCCGACCACAGCCCCAGTCCGGCCCGGTCCGGTCGAGGGTCCGGTCCCTTACTCACGTCGGGCAGCTGCTGGCGCGCGGCGCGAGCCACGGCGTCGTGCAGCGCGCTGCGCCCTGGCGCCGGGACGGCCGCCACCTGCATGGGGCTGCGGACCTGCAGCGCCGCCACCTGCAGCGCCAGCGCGCACAGGTGCTCCAAGTCCTTGGCCGCGCCCTCTTCGTAGGCGAGGAACGCCCTGGTCTGCACCAGGATGGGCAGGAAGGTGGCCGGCAGCGGCACGGTCTGCGTGTCCACCTGCACCACGTCGACGCGGCCGCGCGGGGAGCACAGGCTGATGGAGCGCCGCTGCAGGTCATAGTGCAGCGCGTCCTGCGAGCCAGCCGGAAGCACTGGCGAAGAAGGGACGGTTAGAACGTCTCCGGAAATACACAATGAAGCACCCGGCCGGCCGCGATCACGTGTGGCTCCCGAGGGGTTACCTAATCTGTAGGGGGTAAAATCTAGCGAGTAGTGGTTTTTGCTGGCTTTGAGCGACCAATGCATACAAATACAGCTCTGGTGCCCTACTCCTCCTCCCCCCCCCTCTTTCCCTTTACTTAGGCAGGCAAAAACTCAAACTTTGCCCCTGTACGTAGGCAACTTTTGCGACTCCCCCCACCCCCACCCCCTCCAACCTGTCTCTGGATCCACGCCTGCTCTTGGTTTCCATCGGAGGCTCCGTTTTCATCACTCTAGCGGCGTGTCGAGGCCACAATCCCGCTTTGTACAATGCAAAGTGCTCGGTGCCGCTCGGTGCCGCTCGGTGCCGCTCGGTGCCGCTCGGTGCCCGTTGGGACGTGCGGCACGTGGTCGGCTTCGATTTTCGCGAGAAGAGCGACAGTGAAACGGCTTCAACTTACTTTAGTGGTGGCATGTCCACTCTCTCAAAAAATCTTTCCAAGCATCGCTTGTTCTGTTCTCGACTCGGAGTTCAACTCCCGCTTGGGAAGGGGAATGTTTTTCACTTTCACTTTCCGCCATGGCAAAATGGTTGCACACGTGGGATCGCAGTTTGGTGGCACAGCAAGTCCTCCTGCGTCAAGCTTTTTCCCTCTTGTACAGTCGTTCGCGCAAAAAAAATAGCACTTTGTGGACTCCGTCTGACTGGCCAGGTCGGCGGTGGTTACTTGGGTCAGCGGGTCGCCAGCGCCCCCCCACGCGGCCCGTCCCCCTCCGCGCTCCCACGAGTAAACGAATTCCGTATAGCCGGCGAATAATTGGCGTACCGCATTACGGTCAGGGTCAGATAGCAAAAGATCGAAACGGAAGTCCTTAATCCACAGTGTAAGTGAATGCACACTGCAGAACAGCAATTGGCGGCCATTAGTCACCTTGGGCCGGGTCGATGACGATCTTCTGGATGCGCTTCGGGACGTGCAGCTCGTGGCGGCCCTCGGACTGCTGCAGCGCCACCAGCTGGAAGAGCGTCTCGAGCTGCAGCGTCCTGACCATCTCGAGGCCGCACTCCTCGTCGTCCTCGCGGCACGAGGCGGTCCCCAGCACCGCGCGCTCGCCCCGCTGCAGCGCTGCCAGGCTGCGGTACGGGCCGCGGCACAGCAGGCCCCGCCGGCCCAGCTCCTCGTACACGTCGTCCCCGTCGCACTGCGTCCTGCGGCGCGATGTGGGCACGTCAGCATGCGTAAGCACAAAGTGGCCATGGCCTCGGCCAGGGCCGCTGCGAGAGCCGCGAGTCCCACCGGCCGCCGACGTGTGTTACCTGTCCTCCGTCGGAACTGCCGCGGGCGGGCCCAAGGGCCGCTCGTCCTGCTCCGATATGACAGCAGAGCGGCCCGTGCAGGCCACGCGGTCCTCGACGCTCACCTCGAAGCGACCACTGCCTCGCTGCACCAACACGTAGAACTTCGTCACCCCTGCAACACAACCGATAAGATGTAAATAAATGATTTTAAAAATTCGAGTTGAGAGGTGCCGCACCATGAGACATGCTCACCCTCTTCGGGCACCACCTCGGATTCGTAGAAGACGACGTTTTCCAGGACGATGGGGCAGCCCTCCGGCGCGTAGCTAGACACGATGGACAGAACCAGACTCTGCGGGGCGAGACGCCAGGAAAACGTTGTGAGATAACACCAAAGTAGAAGCGCGCACGAATGTTTTAAAGACTCACCAAGCAGGTGGCGGGGCTGAGCAGGGCGTGCCCGTTCCACGTGCAGTCTGTCAGGTGGGTGAACTCGGCGGTCGCCAGCGCCATCGGCAGGTGCATCTCGGTGCGCGGGCCTCCCTCCTGCAGGCCGTCAAGGTGTTAGATGGAGAGGCAGCGACGCGGCGGCAAAGGGACAGGTACTCACGGCGGGGGCCTTGAGGAAGGCGACGGGCCAGGTGTCGCGGTGGTCCCAGGTGGCGAGCGGCGACAAGGGAGTGGTGTCCCTGCTCACGGGTGTGGTGACGGGGGGGTACAGCTTGGCCACGTCCGGGTTCAGGCCCTCCATGTACAAGCTGGCGCCAAAGGTTGTCTTAGTTTGCGCGTTGTTCCAGAGTGCCGGATTCCTCAGCAGCATACTCACTTGCCGAGGGCCTCCAGCACCAAGCCAGTGCCGGGCACGTCCCGCTTGGTGAGGGCCACGTTCACGGCGTCCTTGTCCAGGGAGCGCTTCAGGATGGCCTGCAGCAGGCCGTGGGGGGCGATCTCGATGGCCAGGGCGTCCTTGTCCACCTGATCGCAGCCCTCCTCGAAGTACACCGAGCTGAGCAGGTTGTTGGTGAAGTACTGCGGCGTGGCGTACTGGGCGTCGTGGTCGCCGGCTCGGGCGGGCAGCACGGACGTCGAGATCCACCGCGACGAGCGTTTCTTCGGCTCCAGGATCACGCCCTTGAGCAGCTCCAGGAGGCGCGGCGCGGCGGGCTGGATGTAGCGGCTGTGGTAGGCGATGTTGCTTACATTGACGGCGCGGGCGAAGATGCCCTTGTCCTTGAGCTGGCTCACGAAGGCGTGCATGTCCGCCGCGGGCCCGGACAGCGTGCAGCTGGTGGCCGAGTTGTGGCAGGCGACCTCGATGGCCTCGGGGACCATGGCCTTGACGTCCTTGTAGCCGAGGCCCACGGCGGCCATCATGCCGGGGATGAGGTCGGTCTCGTTGGAGGCCTGGCCGCGCGCGTGTGCCGCCAGCATCATCTGCTCCACCGTGATGCAGCCGTCGGCGTACGCGCAGCCCAGCTCCCCCACCGAGTGCCCGATCATGCCGTCGGGCTCCACGCCCACGGCGCGCAGCACGTCCGTCAGGCCGATCTGCAGCAGGCGAAGCAGGAAGGCGGCGTTGTTGGCAGTGTGGGGGAAAGAGAGCCACCACCACCCGGCGTCGTCGTCTCACCTGCACGGCGGCGATGCCCACAAAGGAATGGAGGATGTTGTCGAAGATCTTGGGGTCCTTGGTGCAGACGATGTGCTTGAGGTCCAGGCCGAGCGGCACCAAGGCGTTGTGGCAGCGCTCCAGGGCGGCGGCGAAAACGGGGATGCGCATCAGGTCGGCACCCATGCCGGCCCACTGGCTGCCCATGCCGGAGTACACGAACCACACGGGGCGCTTCTGGCCGGTGTAAAACTAGACTCGGAAAAAGAAAGTTAGATTTTTGTGGTAACTTAACCCTGTCTGGCTGCCTCCCTCACCTTGATCTGCGCGGGACGCGCCTCGTCGGCCTTGGGGACGACGGAGAAGCCGCGGTACATGTGGCCGAAGATGTGCGAGGAGAACGCGCCGTGCACCAAGTGGACGTACTCCGGGTCCGAGGCGTTGCTCTCGGCCTGCCCACCAAGTTGGTTCACCTCCGTCAAGTGTCTCGAACAGTCGCCGGTAGCAGCACGACAGTGTACGCACCAACTTCATGACGTCCTCCAGGCCCTCGGGGGTGCGGCCCGACAGAAGCAGCAGCTTGGGCATGGGGTCCTCCCCCGCGGCGGTGGCGGCGGGGGGCGGGCTCAGCGCCTTCTTCTCGCGTGGGTTGGGCCTCAGCAGCACATGCCCCACGATGCCCCCCAGGCCCAGGTTGTTGACGGCCACCATCCCGGGCGCCAGCGGCGTGTTGTCAGTCACCACCTGTGAAACAGATGTCTCTCATCCTGCGCGCGCCGCGTGGTCGCATTCACGCCCAGTGCACCGACCTTGATGCGGCCCTGCGAGATGCTCGCGATCTTGGGGTTGGGGCGGACGTGGTTCAGCGTGGCGGGGATCGTGCCGGACTCCAAGGCCACCAGGACCTTGCAGACACTGGCCAGCCCACTGGCGGCCTCGGTCTGGCCGATGTTGCCCTTCACGGAGCCGATGGGCAGTGGACGCGTGCGGCGGCGGGCGATGACGTCGTCCAGGGCACCCAACTCGGCCACGTCGACGCCGCCCACGCCCCAGCCGTCGGCCTCCAGGTACGCGATGTGGTCCGGGTTCACGCCGCAGTCCTGTGGGGGAAGCACGCCGATGAGCGAACGGAAAGCAAAGTCGACAGGGCTATAAGGGTTCGGGCTCACGTTGTAGAAGGTGCTGAGCAGGTGGCTCAAGACGCGACGCTCGATGTCGGGCAGCTCCGAGCGAGAGACCTCGGCGTACAGGGCCGAGGCAGTGTGCACCACCTCCGCGTACACGCGACGCGCCGTGCGGCCGCGCTCCAGCACCAGCACCACCACGGCCTCACTGCGCACGCCGCCGTCAGCTGGAACGCCAGAGGCCTGGTAACACACCTGTTTGTTTTGCAACAGCGGCGCTCTGCCGTGTTCCCGCCACGTAGACGTACCCGCCTCGTCGAAGGGCTTGCAGATGCCGGAGGCGCTGAGCCAGCCCAAGTCTTGGTAGTGCGTCGCCAGCTCGGCCAAGTACGACAGCGAGGCGGCGCCCACGATGGCGCGGTCGCACTCGCCCTTCTTGAGGGCTCGGAAGGCCATGTCCAAGCCCTGCATGCCGCTCACGAGCTGCGTGTTGTGCGTGAAGCTGGTGCCTGCGCATGCGTGCGCATGCACGCCGTTAAGAATGCTGTTGCCACCATGTTGCTGCAACGCCCGGCAATGCCGCTCCATTACCTTTGAGGTCCAGCCAGTACGAAACGCGGTTGGCCGTCATGGCCGAGTTGAGCCCCATGATGCCGAAGCCGTCGGCGGACTCCCGGATGAAGTTGCTCTCCGACTCGCTGCAGTGGTAGCCCATGAAGACCGCCGTGTTGGTGCCGTGCAGGTCCTTGGGGCTGTAGCCTGCGCCGAAGGCCAAGCCGAAGGCCGAAGCACGTCGTCAGGTGTTTACCGCTTCGCGGGGTCCACCGCCACAACGGCACGCCTGTGCGCGCGACCGCCCTTACCTGCGTCGATGACGGCCTCCAGGGTGGACTCCAGGACGTGCCGCGTGATGGAGTCCGTGGCGGCCGCCAGCCTGGAGTGCATGCCGAAGAAGGTGTTGTCGAACTTGTCTCCGTAGCGCATCTTGCCGCTCTTGATGTTCTCCTTGGTGATGGTGGCGCTGGGGTCGGGAGGAGCCGACTCGGCGGTGTATCCTGAGACGGTACCGTTTGTTCAGGGCCAAACACAAATGGTGCACCAATCCACACCTATAACGCAGCCGCGACATTCTCTACATTTAGCTGCTTTGACTCCGGACGACCACATGAATGCAAAATATGCACCACATGACTTCAAATCTGGTCATAGATCAGCCGACCGCAGAGAAAATTGTGGACACGCACGATGACAGTGCAGTCTGTACTCACTCGGCTGCAGCTCGCCCGCGCCATCACTGATGAGATGCAGGTTCTGCAGCAGCTTCTCGCGGTACTCCTGCAGGTTGTCACACTCCGGGAAGTGGCCGCCCACGCCGGATATCACCACCTCGTCCTGCATGGCTTGCATGGCTTGCACGGCTTGCACTGCTTGCCTTGCTTGCAGGGCGGCTCAACAGGTGCGCGGTCGAGGGCGTTGCGGAGGCGTTGCGGAGGCCTGCGTGCCGGGCATGCAGAGTGACCGTTTAACAAACCACAGTGCGCGTGCGGAGTAGGGCAACCAGAGGACGCGACTTGCTCCCGGGACTGCGGGCGACCTCAAATCAGCGACAGGACTTTCCGTCAGCTTCACACCAAAGACACAGGCGGGGGCGGCGCGCGCGCACTGAAAACTTAAGCGTGTACTCATTTCACACTTTAGAGCTCCGCGTGTGTACTCAGTACACACGTAAATTTTCGGTGCGCGCGCGCGTGGATGTGTGTCGTTTGTTTGTGTGTTTGTTTTTGTGTTTGTTTGTATGTTTGTTTCACACTTAACTATTTGTAGAATTCAGAAATTATGTTTCCAAATTTGTACGAAAAGTTGCACATGCATAAAATTGTGAGGGGTCACGTACCAGTCGCACTTTGCCCCGTAATTAGGCAACTTATGCTGCACCCCCCCCCCCCCCCCAAGCACCACCACCTTTCTCCCTCCCTCACCTTTCCCCCTCCCTTTTGAATCAGGCCCTTGCTACCAAGGAGAACAAGAAGCAATATTCAATTAAACTTACATCGAGTGACGTCTAAATGGTACCGAATACCCAAAAGCTCTCTTGCGATAGTTTCAGGAGTGGCAGGGAGGGGGGCGCTTTTCACACGGCCTTTTTCGGTGATCGTTTTGTTCCACCTAGTAAAGGACTCCCACCCCACTCATTAAAAAGACTGGTTCCGATGCCGCCGCTGTGCTGTTTACCGTCGTACACGGCCGTACACGGCCGTGCACGGACACGGCCGGCAATGACCTAGGAATATCCAATGAGACCACCTGGGCTGAACGGCCTGAATACCTGGCACTGGCAGCACTGGCACCGTGGCCGCGTCCGTGGGTCGCGCCGACGACGTCTGCACTGTGCTGCACACCACCGAACACTGGCGGGCGGTAGCGGGCGGGCATTGCACCACTAGACTCTGCACTGCTTGGGCCTTCGGCCCGCCAGGGCGCCAGGGCGCCAGGGCCACGGGGAATGGGGAAGGGCGAGGGGTCGAGGAGGGCGTCAACGAACGCTTCCAAACCGAGCCGGTTCTTATGCGAGCTCGTCGTCGCTACCAACACTACAAACCTAACTGTCTACTAAGTAAACACTTACAAATGCATGCTTGCAAGTACGCACTTACAAACGCATGCTTGGCCAAGTACACACTTACAAATGCATGCTTGACGCCGTATAACTCCATGCTTCAAGCATGCGTTTGGAAGTGTGTACTTGCAAGCATGCATTTTTAAGTGTGTACTTGGCCAAGCATGCGTTTGTAAGTGTGTACTTGCAAGCATGCATTTGTAAGTGTGTACTTAGTAGACAGTTAGGTTTGCAGTGAACCAACCGGCTCCCCACCCGGTTACGGCCTTACACGCGCATCGCGCATCATGCGGATTTCAAGATTTTGGGCACGTTTGATGCGCATCGGGCGAGGCATTGGCGCTTTGGCAGTGCTGGGAAGAGAAGTGGGTGGGTTTTGTGTAAAAAAAAATGTTGCGCCAACAAAAAATTTTAGCCAAAGAAATAACAGCTACGTAGCATGTTAGTTGCTACGACAGTAATCTATTATTCCCGTGCGGGGATGTATGAAACAAGGGAGAAACTATCACCCCCACCAACCACCCAGCTGCGTCAAATCAGGAGCGATGGGAAACGGGGATTATGCAAACATGACGAAGACAAGACGTCTCTCCCGCACCCCCAGGCTGCCCCAGGGCTGCCCCAGGGCTGCCCCAGGCTTCCTCGCAACATGACTGTCACATGCAAAGCGGCTCGTCGAAATACTCCCACCCTAGTTCCGTTTGTAAGGAACGCAGCGCTAGTGGTCGCGGCCCTTGCCAAAGGCATCTAAATTGACCTAAATAAAGTGTTTACACGGGGCGCTCCGGAGAGCGACTTCCGTTGGTCGTTCGAAACTACGTCGGCTTACACGCCAGTCCTTCACTGCTCAGTAATTACCAAATTTCATTTAATTCTATTTTTAAGTTTTGTAACTGGGGTCACATTTAAATTTGGAAAAAAAAAGGTAAAAGATTCCGCTGTCCAGACAAAGTACACCGTAAGAAAAATGCACCGTGGCTGGTAGGCTAGAGCCCTATAGGGCCCTTGGGGCACTGAGGACTCGCCATGGAACGCGACGCAACGCGACGCCCGTTGCCGTAGAGTCCGCCACGGTCTGACTCTAAGCTACACTGTTAGAACTTAAGCTATTCTTTACTCCTTCTTTCGGCGCAGTGGTTGTTTGCTGCGCTTGGCTTGTAGAGCCCTATCTTGAAGCGCAGTACAGACTCCATGTCTTGTCCAATCTTCCTGGAAGTCTTGTCTTCCCCGTGAGGAAGAGAAATTCCTCACACTGGGCGGGAGGCAGCTAGCCTCGCGACGGGTCGACGTAGCGTCAGCGTCTGAAATGCAATCCGGATTCTGGGGGCGTTGGACCATCCCCCCACCCCAACGAGATTTGAGGAGGGTTGGGGGTTTGGGGGTTGGCGGTTATTTACGTCGTTTCGTTTGTTGATATGTTTGTGCGTTCTTAGGCCTGAATTAGCTTTGTTTGTCAGAGCACGGTAGCAAGGTACCACCAGCACCAGGCACTTTGACAGTGTCACCAGCACCTCACAAACACAGCTGGGCTTAATTTTGATCATTCTCATTAAATGAATGAGATCCTTGACAATCACTAATGAATGCAACAACAGTTATGCTAGGTTAGATTATACGCACGAACATTTTGGGCTACTGTATGGACCCGTGAAAACATTTGAAGCCGCGACTGTTTGGCTAAAATGGGCGAGCTCAGTGAAAACGACAAGCTGAACCCCAGCATGGGGCTGTCGGGCTCCAAGCCACTTCTTGTTGCTGCACAGGATACTGAAAGATTCTATGGTGTCTACATACCAAACAGTAGCGAAGAAAGTAAGTACGCTGCCGGTAATTTTTGCACGGCAGTGTTTGCCCCCTCAAATTTACTTGTGCTCCAAACTAAAGCTTATTTTGCTCTATGCATTTTTCCATATTGCTCTATCCTATTGCAGTTAAAAAGTATTACATCATTCTTGATTTCAGATTTTTTACACGTCTATGAAGATAAGGTAGAGGCTTTAAAGGTTGTGAAACATCACAAAAAGGCTCGTTTTAAAGCATTCAAACAGCGGTCTGATGCTGTGGCGTTTGCTGTCCATGGAGCAGACTCTGTATCCGCTAGCTCGGAGGAAAATGTGCCTGTTGCACCTAGTGTTTCTCAAAGTGATGCAGAAAAACCAAGTCTTTTCAAGGGTCCAAAACAACAAGACATGGTGCAACTTCGAAGAGCGATTGAGAGTGGTAATTTAGAGTTGGTCTTCAAAACTGTCTGGGACAATCCTCGATTTCTTATTAGTAGTGGAGACACTCCGTCTATTTTACAGGTATTTAAAGGAACTGCACTTCACTCATACTTTTAATTATGTTTTATGATGTTGACTTACTATTGCATCTGAATTTCTAGGAAGGGTCAAGATACAATGCCTTACATGTTGCTGCCAAAAGCAAAAATGCAGCCATGGCTGACCTTATTTTGCAAACTGTAGGAGACCCGGCATTTTCGAAATTGTTGTACGGTGGTGATGAGACTTTGTCCGCTAGTAAAATGGGTTCATCTTCAGAAAGATCTGCCATTCTCGTTGATTTGTATTTAAATACTCCAGACAAAGGCATGCATGAGACCCCTTTGCATTTTGCTGCAAAGTTTGGAGCAATCCATGTTGTTGCAACTTTAGTATCTTATTCACAGTGTGACTGGGAGCCTAAAAATAAATTTGGTCAAAGACCTATTGATGTGCGTATATGGAACCATCTCCTTGTATCAGAGTCAGAGTGTTGATGAACCTCATTTTGTCTGATTTCTTCCCTTTAGATTGTGTGCTCCAGATGTCCTACAGCCAGTGAGCAACTGAAATCAGAGATAGCAACTCTTCTTCAGAATGACTTTTATGTGCCAGTGCTTAGGGCTGAAGATAATTCTTTACCACCTTTGATTGGGACCCCTTATTCACCTAAAGATCCTCCTGTAAGCTTAATCAAAAAGTTAATGAATTTCATCAATTTTTAAAAATTATATCCACTTTATATAGAGTATTTGGAAATGTTCACAGGTATTAAATGAAGATCCTCTCAGTCCTCGTCTAGAGATTCATGCATTTGCAGGACCTATGACTCAGTCCCAAGCTTCTGAATTTCACCGTCAATGGCGAACTCCTCAAAGAGCTAATAATTCAACAAGGGTGCAAAATGTACCTAAAAGTTGCCCGTCTGCGTTTCGGTTGCAGGATACTCACAAAGGGCTGGAGAGAGTTGGCCGGTAAGTTAAGGTAAAACTAATGTTCTTTGATTATATCCAGTTCACAGAAATAAAATTGTTTTCTTCACCACAGTTGTCTTGCACTTGATCATTGTGTTCCGTGGAAGGAATACTGGCCATTCTTGAATACATTTGTTGATTTGACATCCCAGGAAGGCCTAGCTCTTCTAGAGGCACACCTGGCTAAGAGATATCAAACTGTAGCGGATGTGGTAAGTAACTGTCTGTCTCTTTCTCTGTATGGTAAATTTTAGGTGAAAACTGCTTAAAGTATTTTCATTGAATTGCAGCCAACTGACAAACTTAATGAAGGTTCTGTAACTCCATCTTCAACAAATGATTCAGCTGATGTCATTAGAGTAAATCATACTCTAGATGGGACTGATATAGAACCTGAAATTTTGAGTCCAGTCACTCAATTGTGTTCTATGATGAATGCATGCACCATCCTGGATGACTCTGTGGGTTCTGGTCTTGGTCGCGGCTCACCTTTGTCCCTGTCACCCTCTCCCTCGCCCTCCCCCTCATCATCCCCCTCCAATGGCAGCATTCTATCTTCAGGATTCTTTGACTGGCTGAGTAGAAAACGATGTGAAAACAACAAGTGAGGGTGCTTATGTGAATAACTTAATTTATTTGCCCTCCTTTTACTGTTCTGTTTATGAAGGAACTTATTTCTGTTACCAGGACTGCTCCAGAAAATAGTCAAAATGAGTCTATTTTGACAGCTTTATCAAATCCTACAGTCAGTCCCTTTCTTTATGTAGAGAAATCTTTGCAGCTGTTTGCAAAACGAATTGCTGCCAGCTTACACCATACAGTTTCTGGTAACTTTTCCCCACACCACCTCAAGGACTCTATACGAGACGTTCTGAAGCCAGAGATAAAGAGAGTTCAGGTGGGGTTGATGTATTTATTAAAAATTTTGGTGTCCCTGTCAAACAATTTAAATTATGCTGCTGAAAAGTTCATAATGATATTTAAATTTTCAGAGTCTTGTGATAAGTTATATGGAAGATGCTCGCTTTGTAGCTGTTGATTATCATCTCGTACATTCGAGAATTGCAAGTAGTGTTGCTGAGAGACTTGTTGATTTACTGACATGGGAAGAAAGAGAGGTGTTTTACAGTGGCTTGCAGGTGGGCAAGTTTTCTTTAAAAAGTTAAAATGTCATACTGCATGCATAGGGATGGCATAGCATCTTACACCAAATACATTTTATGTTTCCTAGGACATGCTTTCGGGCAAAGGGTTTGATGCAACCCTCTCATCTGATGATGATGATTTAATTACCTCTGCCTCTACTTACCGCCAGCCCAGAGCGTCCAGACAAGCATCTGGTTCAAATAATAAAACTGCCATCCGTTGTGTTATCAGCCAGATGGTGTGGGCATTAGACCAGCTGCAGGGGAGCGGCCCTGATGGAAGAACCACCCTTCCGGTAACATAAACAAACACTTGAATCTTCAATTTAAAAATCTTACCCCAACTAGTGTAACTGATTAAATGTATGGCTTTTACCTTTTTTTTGTGTGTGTGTTTTGCAGCCCCGTCCGCAAGTACGCACTGAGAGTGAGTGTTTAGAAATGTGGTCTGATGCATATCCTTGCTTGTGCTCATGGTTCACACACAACCAAGCAAATTTCTCCAGAGGGTCTCGAAAATCTTCTTCCATGAAACGATCGGCCATGAACACATCTTTGAATGTCTCTGATAGTCATTGTCATAGTGTATCTCGGCGACTGGACTATGCTGATAAAGATGGTGAGTTTAAATTGCAGATTCTTTTGAAATCCACAACTGCGATTGAGATATGTTTTTACAGTGCTTTTGTTTTGTTTTTTTTCAATACATATTAGATATCACCAATGACTGTGAGCATGACCATGCTCGTACAGAATCTCACTCATCAGGTAACACAACAGGTCTACAAGAAATTACAAAAAAAAAGGTCCCTATGGATCAATTTTTTTATTTTTTTTCATGGCTTTAAAAAATTATATTTTTGTTCAATGAAGATGCTGAAGGTGATACTTTTTTCACCCCTCCATCATCTCCGAGAGGCAGTCCGATTCCCCCAGCTTCTGAGTCCAGCAGTGATGATGAAATGGATGTACCTGAAGAGGGCCTACCTGTTTTTATTGAAGGGTGATCACAAAATAATATAGATGGTTAGTAATCGCAGTATGTAGCCCTATGAAGTTTTCTTAACATGTTTTGTTTTCTTTCTAAGGAATGAACCAACTAGAACTGATATAGATGTACTGAACGCAATAAGTTTGTGTAACATCACTCAATTGTCACACCCTCATATTTATCGATGGAGACATGAAGTTTTATTACATCCAGCAGAAGAAAGGAAGAGGTAATTTTCAGCGCCTCCTAAATTGGTAACTATGCAATATTTGAGTTAAGTTAACCACTATTTCTGCATGTTTTATGCAGGTGGCAGACTCGGAGAGCAAGACATCTTAATGAAACACCCCCATCAGGCTCCTTTCCAACTACGTCAAATTGTATTAGCACACCGTTATCTATGAAATTTGAAAGTTCCTCCACACAATCATGGAACCACATCAAAGGGACTTACTCTCCTTATTTATACTGTAGCTCTCCTTCTTCAATAAAAACTGAAGCACCTTCTTCACCGTCATGGCATCGTATAACTGGAATGTATTCTCCTTTGCCTAACAAGACGCTCAAGAGGTCATAACAAGAGCTTGACATCTTCCTAACTATCATCAACGTCATAGATGATTTGTTTCTTTTCTCTTTAGCTTTCAATGGTTTTGGTGCCTTATAAATCCTTCTTTTGATAGAACGTGTGATTTGGCTTTCATTTTTTCCCAATTCTTTTTTAAAATGTACTGATTGCCTGCAGTTATCTGAGCTGGAGAGAAATATAAAGTTAGAATGATATATTATATTTTTTCTACTGTCGATAGGTATATATGATAACATTGATTATGAAACTTATCTTAAGCATTCTTTAAAGTTAACCATTCAATGTAAAATTGTTTTTAGTTACCTGAAGTCTGTCCATTGCCCCTTGTACAAATACTTCTTGTCTCATTTTAATCTGCTCTGTAAAAAGTGTTCAAAACAAAAAAAAATGTTATATTTCATATTTTAAAATATTGAAACCATTGCTGGGACTGCTACTAAATCAGCTTTTTACCAGAGTGGAGTCGCCATAAGGACGTGTACTGTTTGGTTCACCTTCGTGCACATTTTACATTTCCCTCAGATTTCCATCATCTGATCATATGTTTTAAAATTAAAGGCTCGGAGTCTTCTTATTTGAATGCCATTCCTTTGAATTGTGCACAGTATTGACTGTGCTGATACTATCATAGAGGAAATGTTAAATTATTTTATTTTTAATACTAAGAAGTTTCAGTTATGAAGAAACTGTAAAAAGGAATTTCCTCTTCATTCATTATAGGGGTAGTTCTTTATTCATGTGAGCTGTGCAGCAAAAAGATTCTTCCACATCACTTTTAAGCCTTTTCTCCCAATTGAAGTCTGTTGATCACCCTTTCTCATCTTTTTTTTTGTAGCACCTAATCCATGGTTGTGAATGTTTGTATATTTGTTTGTACTTTACTTGCTTTTTAACTAAGTGCAGAGGGAATCAAAATGTCCTCTAGCTGTGATTTGGAGGAAATCTTTCCAATGCTGGAATGTTGGGCACAGGGCCCATTTTACTTTGTGTACTGATGAACTTCCATGAATATTTGGAGCTTCTCATTCGTTTGAATCTTTATTGGTGGTGACATTGGTTCTGTTTTCTCATGATACCAAATATTGCCACCAAGTCTGTTATTTATTGTAATTCTTGTTATATTCTTCTCGCAACTGACTTGCTCTGCAGTAACTCCATTTTGTCATCTTTTATTCTTCTCTGTCAAGAGTATGTTGAAGACTGATCTAACTGCTTCATCAAGAACCATGCCAAGTGTTCCCTGCCAAGTATGTGTGGTGTTTTAATGCTCTTTATACCCTGTGATATTGTAAATATGAAATCTTCATTAAAAGGTGTAAATGAATATTGCCGTAAAATTTGATGCACTTCAAATATTTTGAGTATTTGATACTCACTTCCTGTTGGGCATATGGTAAAAAACAACAAAACTATGTATTATCTGAGAAACTTATTTGATTCCTTTCTTATTCGTTACACTTGGGAATGCGTTGTGTACAATAAGCTACATTGCATCAGATTAGATTTTTAACCAGGTACATTGCTCATTTGCTTATTCTATGCGTTCAATCAAGCCACAACTTACAATGAATACGACTTAACAGTACTATCAGGTCGGAGGTATTTACACTCTGAAATAAGCATTTGTACAAAACAACAGCTGAGGGTAAATCTAAGAATGGAGCTACATCCTGTCCTTCAGAATTAATCTTTTGAAAAAGAAATAAGATAATTGCTTCCTTCATTTGATCTTTATTGAAATAATTGTAACAACTATCAATCATTAACATGTTACTCGAACAATTTTCCTTGGTTACCTCACTGCTAACTTCTGCAGTGTTATGGGCAAAACAAAACTTTCTGGACACACTTTTTGTACAAAAATGTCTAGGGAGAAAACTATCTACAGCTTCGTTGAAGGACAAGCTGGGAGTATACAGGAGTACCTGACTACACACATACAGTTTTATATTAGTTAGATGTTCAGGGGGAAGCAAAACTTACATTCAGTTTGCACACTACCCCAAATATTGTACATTTCAAAATAGTTTTACCAAAGCCACAAGGTCAATTAATAAGTTTGCAATTGATTGACATCTATGGCTTTGATAAATCACGTAGCACAGAGGGATATTTTTGATTTTTTTTTGTTTGTTTTTTTAGTTAATTCTTCAAGGCAAAGCAGGAGGAAAACGTTTGCCTAGAAAGGAGGGGAGAATTTGCGACTCATTGGAAATGTGCAAAATGGCCGTCTCACAACAGAACATGTGATTATTCCTTTTTTTTAAAAATGTACTACATCGGCTTCAGGTTCCTTCCAGGAGGAATGTGCGACTTAGTGATTCACCAGGATCACTGTCCAGTCCACTTAAATAAAATTACAAAAACTATATATATTTATATATATAAAAAGGGATGAGCATAGCACAGCACACCGCTCCTTCCATTCTCTCTCACACACACACTCTCAATAAATAGACTCCAACAAGATGTTGGCTGGTTAACTGCTGGATTCATGATGAGGACAATTACCTACATTGTTCTTCAATACTGCTTGTTACTACAAAATGTCACACAGCCAGCCTTGACATGTGCATTAAAATCAATTTACAACCATTGGCATAACAATAAACAAGAAAGTTCTTACTTTGCAGTTTTGGTCAACTAAAAGGTGCCACATAGAGAGCTTTTCTTATGGGGAAAGATTCTGAACATCCTGGTAGTTAAATGAGTGGTGCAGGTTTTGTTGAGTACAATAATGTAACTCTTGTTGTTAACAAAGGAAATCACTTTACCAGCACTGAATGACTATCAGATTTTGGTATAGAATTAGGCCAAAACAAGGTACCACATTCTTATCTGTGCTCAACACACAGCAAAATAGACTTTGCACTTTTTTCTCCTTTCTTTTTACCAAGTACACCAGAGTACTCAGTGACAAATACATGCTCACCAACCACATCAATAAATAACCTCAGAGGATAACTTACAAAATGGAATAGGAGACCAGAAACTTACTATATCTTAGACAATAGCGCCCCAATCAACAAAAGCATGGTAACCATCATAAGATTTTCATCACATATCGGCTGATAGTGGCCATAAGCTTTAGGTCAATGCCAACTTGTGCTCCAGTTTATCACTTAACAACATAAACAAATCTTTTAAAATATTGATGTTTTGAAATGGGGAGGGGAAAAAAGTCACTTGTATAAAGAAAACAATAAAAAAAAATCCGCACCATTTAGAAAAAAAATAAATTTAAAATTGCAGCAAGCTTACCTGTTTTTCTTAGCACTACAATCCTTTCAAGTGGTAACTTTAACAACCCCACATAAGGAACCAGCTACTTGGGAAGACATATTTCTATACTTCACTAATAGCACTCATCCAAGAAATGAAATACAACAGCAGTCTTGAAAGGGCAGACTATCCAGTTGTCCCTTTATCAGGAGTGGACAATCTAATTGACATGTTGTTAAACTGTTGGAGCGACATCTTTGTACGGCAAACACTGCGCCCCGCACCGTGCTACATGCACAAAATTTTCAGCCGTTCCCGCTACAATTTCCTTTATTCGACACAAATATATAATAACATTACTTTTGGATTAAAAAGACTAATCCGTTGTGACATTATTTTGTATTCAATTTTCAAAGCTTATTGCTTTCTAAATGAGACACATAATATTTTCTCTCCACTACAAAACTGTCATCATACTTCTGAGGAACAATTTGAAATGACAACCATAGAAAATGTCCACCAATTTTTTTTCAGTTGCCAACTGATCACAAAATACACATAACTACAAAAATGCAAAAAGAAAATTAAATAAAAACTTCAACAATAATAATAGTCCAAAATTACAAGTTCAAATCACTGTTACATGGGCAGGGGTGAACCAATATACAATCCAAAAAACTGACTATATAATCAGTCAAGCTATCAATATGACAGCCTATCATTCGTTTATAATAATTTACCATGGATAAAGACCCACAGTAGCCAATCCTGAGATTATTTTCACACCTCACGAAGAGGCATTTCTTTATCCAATCTGTTTGCTTCACTGAGGCGTTGGGAATTGTTGCATGGCATACATCATTGCTGGTGGCTGGAGTGGAGCTTGCCCTGCCATTACTTGCTGACTTGTCACCGCTGCTGCGGCTGCGGCGGCTGTGGGTTGCGCTTGCATGGCCTGCCAAGGTACTTGCAAACCCATTCTCTGAACATAGGCCTGAGGATAACTGAACTGGCCATAAGTAGCAGTATAGCTGGGCTGCATGCTCTGTAGATACTGACTGCCAGCCGCTGCAGGATAAGATTGGGGATACCAATAACCCATTTGTTGTCCATACGCATAAGGGTATTGACCTGCAGCTGCTGCAGCTGTTTGAGTTTGAGGCTGCGGCGTTTGCGGTTGAGCAGCTTGTGGCTGGGCCGTGGGTTGAGCTCCTGGCTGTGGAGGGTTGTTGGGATCTCCAGACTCCTTGCCCCAAAAGCATTTCACAGTCTGGCCATTAATTTCAGTATTGTGAATAGCTTCAATGGCATGTGTGGCAGCTTCTTTGGTAGCAAATCGGATAAAGGCATAACCTTTGTCCTTAAACACCCGTATATCTTGAATTGTGCCGAATGGAGTAAAGGTTTTCTGGATTATTTCATCACTAATACCATTAGTAAATCCTCCACAGTAAACCGTGCAATTAGTAGGACTTGACTGATTATAGACTTCATCATAAGATGCTGGTTTGCCAGAACCAGGATGTCGAGGTCTTTCATTTCGTGGAGGTGGTGGTTTTCTAGTCGACCAATTAGTACGAATACTGCGGCTTCCAAGCCACTGGCCATTCATAGCTTGTATAGCACTTTCAGCCTCGGCCTTCTTCACAAATGACACAAATGCATAACCCTTTGACTTGAGGGTCTGAGGGTCTCTAACAATTCTGCAGTTGGAAATTTCACCAAATGGTGCAAAAGCTTCACGAAGTGTCTGAGTCTCGATCTCGGGACTCAAATCGCCGACGAATATGTGGTGATGATTGCTGGTATCTTGTTTGGGCTGGTTGCCGGGAGAGGTGGCCCAATTTACCTTGATCTCCTTGTCCAAGAACAGCCGCTTGTTCATCACGGCCAGCGCCGTGGCGGCCGCTTGATGGTTGGTGAACTCCACAAAAGCGTAAGGATCATTGCCTTGCTCGCGAATAATCTTGCAACCTTTCACAGGCCCGATTTGGCAAAATAAAGTACATAGAAGATCCTCTGACACAGACGTGTGCAAGTTCCCGACGTACAAGGTTTTAGGCTGACTTTCGTCCGTCATGTTGGAGGTCCAAAACTGAGGACCCGGCCGTCAGAAAACACCACAATTTCCGTCGGCAAACACCTTTTCACTCTAGGTTAAGTATAACACTACACTGGCCTAAAAATGCTACCTTGCTTTAACAACGAAATGAACGGAACGCTTCACTTGTTGTCTGTTTGGTGGGTGCGTTCAGTCGTTCATGTTCGTGTTCATGAAGCAAAGTCGGGTAACGTCACAACTTGGTCTGCACGCCAATGTCGCAAGAAGAAGTAAAGAAGAAAATGACAGAATGGCCGAAAACCACTTCTCCACATGACAGAAGGCGGCGTATCGACGAAAAAATAAACTTTAACACCAAGTAACACAAGTAACACCCATGATTTTCTGAAATTCTTCCTCTTAGACACTTAGTCCAAGGAAGATGTCAGCAAAGATTGTTGAATGTGGTGTTACCATTTTCTGCTATTCTTGGCGTGATTGCTCTATGTTGACTTAAAAAGACCATCCACTCGTAAAATGGCAAGTTAAATTCCTATAGTGAACTCATCATCGTAAGTATGTTATCTTCCTACTATGAAATCTGTGGGTTGAGGGGTAACTGCTGTATGCCTAGGCACAGAGCCTAAATTTATTGACTCTTACACACAGCTCCTCTTAGGAAGTGCATAGACATGTCATCCAATGTCATTAAAGCAGTAGAAATGTTGCCACTGTCAGTTCATCTAAGGTTAAGTGTTTATGAACAGTGGCCGCAAGCTTCTAAATTTGTTTTGTCGGTTGTTAATAATTGACAGCTGAGCGCACACTACAACATAAAAAAGGGAATTTGTTCCAGTACCCCTTAAAAAATTTGTCAGTGAATTGTCTAACAAGTTGGATGCTGTTACTTGCCACAGTTCTCCAAAAGAAGAGTTTGCTCCTCAGGCTCTGGAAACAACAGCATGGATGACAGACACCAGGGCATGGGTGATGGTTTGGAGGGTGAAGAGCAAGATCAACCGGAGCCCTCATCTTCTCCTTCTCATGTATGAAACTGTAAACCTCATGAATTTTAGTGACGTAAGTTATTAATTTGTTTCATCGTGGCCCTTGATGTTTTCTAGGAATCAGAAGCTTTAGACAATTTATCAAGTTTCCGGGAGCAGTGGCACAAAGAATTGAAAAGTGGTCCCGAACAGGTGCCTCACCATCAAGCTCCAAGAAGAGACAACAGTCAGAAACTTGAAGACTTAGAAGAAACTGTTGAAGAAAAAGTATTAAAATTCACTCTTACTCAATTACTCTGGCCATAAACATAATCTAACAGAAGTTGTTTGTCTTGTAGGCTCGATCTATGTTCTTAAAAGGCGTTCAACATGAGCAGGATGGAAAACTGTATGAAGCTGTCAAGTTCTACAGGCAGGCTGTCCAACTTGTCCCTGATATTGAATTTCGTCTGTATGAAGCTTCCAAGGCCAGAGCTCAACAAGCTCAGCCAGTAGAAGGTAATTTTGTATTTCTTACTAAGATCAGATTATATTTTACAGTTAATTGTGGTTGTAGTGTCTAATCTTAACCTTTCCTTTTTGTCAAAGTTAATTTAGAATCACTGTCTCTTGAAGAAACTGCAGCTGAACCTGCTTCAGTTGATGAAGAGGATGATATGATGATTCGCCTTCAACGTCTTTACATGAAAAATCCAATTATATGTCAGCCTGATCAGCCCATTAATGTGAGAGTCGAGATCATACATAGAAAACGGTCAGTCTTAGATGTCTCTTGTTAATACCAATAATACTATGTTTTCCAGGGTGCTCACATATCTTCATTGCCAATGGAAATAATATTGTACATCATGAAGTGGGTTGTTTCCTCAGAAATGGATCTGCGTGTTTTGGAACAATCGTGTTCAGCAGTTAGCAGAGGGTTTTACCTTGCTGCACGCGATCCAGAGATTTGGAGGCTTGCTTGTATTAGGTAAAAAGAGCACGCTTATCATCATTGTCTAGCTTTAATCATGTTTATAAAATCTATTTTGTATTTTAACATTTTTTTGCAGAATTTGGGGTGTTCATTGTGGAGGCTTGAGCAACTTTGATTCATGGCGTCAGATGTACATTCAAAGACCTCACATTCACTTTCATGGTTGTTACATCAGTAAGACTTCCTACCTGCGAGCAGGAGAAAACAGTTTTCAAGACCAATTTTACCAACCATGGCATGTGGTGGAATATTTTCGATATCTTAGGTTTGTGTTCATGTTCTCTGATTTGCTAAGTCATATTCCTCTCGACATGGTGTAATGTAGTGTGCAATCTTATTTTTCCTGTTAGATTTTTCTCTGAAGGATCTGTATTGATGCTGACCACACCAGATGACCCATCAATTAGTCTGAAGGAATTAAAGCACCGCCAGCCCCGAAACTCTTCTGTGTTGCACGGCCATTTCAGATTACATGATGATCATGTTATAATTGTATTGAAAAGACAAGCTGATAAGACTAGCGGAAACAATAATAAAAACCGCAGTAAGAAGCGTAGAGATTCCACTTTGTGGTCTGAACCAAGTGAACAAACTTTTCATTTGGTTAGTGACTTATCTTCAGCAATAGATTTCTCCAGAATACTTTTGAGAAAATTTCTAATTTTTATTTTACATGTTGTAGGAGTTGCAGATCACTTCTTCTCGCTCACATCACCATTCCCAACTTCAGTGGCAACAGTACTCCATCGTTACTCGGCGTGGTGCCACAGAAAGTACAACAAACTTTGATCTAATTGGTGGCCGATTTCGACCCTTCCATTTCTCAAGAGTAAAGAGCTACACAACTGAATCAGAAAATGTATTTCAGTGATGCGGAGTCCTTGCCATTGAAGCATTAGAGATATGAACCTTTATTGCTACTCCCCAGATTAAATATGACAATCGAAAGTCTCATAGAAGAAAAAGGTTGCAGAACAAAACTCTTGCGAGGCTGACATCATTTTCATGGTTCATCTGCCATAAATTTTCTTTGGTTGATTTTCTTTAATTTCTTAATTTTTTCAGTTCGGGTAATTTTGGGGCACAGGGACTAATGAGGCAGCTGTTTGTTGGGCATGGTTTGACATTTTAGAACTTATGTGGTGTTTTGATTGTAAAAATAACATTTGGAATGGTATGATTGCTGAAATGTCGTATCTTTTCCAGGAAACAGCTGTTTCATTTTCACCCCATGTCTCAAAATTACCCCAACTGACCCTACTTAAAAATATTTTTGGCCACCATGTAAAACAGAACAGCCTCATGTATGAGTCTCAATATTTTCTACTGTGGATTTTCTTGTGAGTACCAACAGTTCTTAACAATTAAAGTTTCTTCGAAGAGAAAGAAATTAAAAAAAAAAAGTTTATGTGAGCAACGGTGAGCACCAACAGCTCTAAAAAAAATTATAGGTTTTTGTTGTTGTTGTTGTTGTTATTGTTGTTTTTGTTTTTAAGAAGGAACAAAAGAAGGTTAAGACTATTGAGAATATTGGAAGGTGAACAAGGGTTTATGGACTTCTAAGTTACTTTGGTTATCAAAGCAAATCTTAGTTTTTGCTTTTTGCATATCAGAACTCCTCAAATTGTGTTGGCTTGGACACAAATGTGATGTGATAATATGAGTGGTAAATATATGGAAGTATGAATGGCTGTTACTTCAATGTTCTAGGACATAATTGAAAGTAAGGGAAAACTTCTTTCTCGTTTCTTGTTTTTTCTGTTTTCTTTCTTCAAATTCTCTGGAAGATGTGTGTCTTAACTATTATTGAACTATAATGGTCCAACTGCACGCTTTCTTTTTCTTCTTACTTAATTTTTCTAATAGTTCCTCTGTGGTTCCCAGAGACTTCACTCTGGCAAAAAAATGTTTTCTCATGTATAGTTTTTACCATTTTACTGTTTTAATCTGTATCTGTGTTCGTTCCGCTGGCTGATTTTGAATCAAGTATGTTTTGGGAACTATTTTCTCACTAACTAAACCATCCATCAAGTGTGTACAATTGAATGCCTTTATTGGTTTCATTTTTATTACAAATATTTTCCTATAAAGCTTGTCAGACCTTATTTGAAAACATTAGATATATTTTGATTCTATTTTTTCTTGTGTGTTCAAGAAAGTGAAAGAGAGCAAATACAAAAAGAACTAAGTAACAACTCTACCTATACTTTACATATACCCTGTCCACTCTCATCAACAAACCCAACTGAGGTGAAGGTCGGCCGTCTGCCTAAATTCCCGGAATATTTATAGCTGGTTACTTTCTCCAATTTATCATCTTTTCATAACATTTGATGGCCATTTCAAAGGAATCTGCTAATTGTTGGAATTTAGGGGGGAATGTATTCCTGTAACACATTTTGACAGTTATACATTACATGTCCTGTGGACGGTTTGTTGTTGATTTGTCTTCAATCGCTCTCCCAGCCTGCAAGGTGGTGCCAAGAGTAAAGTGTGTGCCGAAAAACTGGTTAAATGGTTACTAATAATTCTCATTAAATAGCTCAGGTTTTTTTTGTTTTTGTTTTTTTTGTACAAGCAAAGAAAATGTGCTACCTATTGCACATTATTGGCAATCACTTGATGCATATTCAGAGCACATTTTTGAAATAGGCTACACAATTGTAACCATCTTGCTGACTGGGCTATCACTACCAATTGACAAGATTTAAGCTAGAAGCACCATGACCTACTGATTAGGATTGTTCTTTTTTAAATAGTTACTATTGGAGGGTCATGCACTATGAACAACTAAGTTCATGTAACTGGAAACTTTTTCTGGAGCACACTTTTCCCTCAGTTCGTATGATATTGGTCCCCTCTCAATAGTTCTATGGTATGAATGGTAATTTGAATAGCTAAAAGGCACTTCACTTTTTCAAACAAATGTCCATAAGAGGTAGAAGAATTAGAATAACGAGCTTTTCCTATCCCATAGAAATTATTGTCTGTCAAAAAAGACATTGCTTTAACTGTTCAAAACTAAAGCAATTTTATGTGACAATATTTTCCATGGAGAGTTACTAGGAATTTTACTTTACTCAACTGTGCAACGATTTGTTGCTTGCAGTAAAGAAATGTCCAAATGAAATCAGTTAGTAGAAAACTGAGACTACATGTGTCCAGGATCCGTAAACTGCAATATGATATTGATCTCAAATTTATTAAAGAGAGAAATTTATGGGAAGTGACAAAAAAAACTGATGGTGCAATCCATGAATACGACAGTGAATCATTGCTGGGGTAAACCAGTTGTTCAATCGCACTGATGAGCTCCTACTGTCTGATAAGTGCTTTACAAGTAAAATACAGTTGTTGCTTTTTTTAATAATTTGTGGTAGACTTGTAAATATGACTTATGAGGTCATACGTATGTGGTGATGAGACACTAGTCATCAAACATCCACTCAAACTTTGCCATAGGGAGGTATGTGTATTTATATCTTTATTATGTGAATTGCTCTTGCACAATTGGGAGCAATTCTTTCTAAGTCATACAAACCTGCCAAAGTTGGAACAGAAAGTATGACGCTTCAACTATTTCTGTGGATTCTGTCTACTCGAAGTAGGCACAAATCACGGGAAAACTGAAATGTAATAAACCCTAACTTTGAGCCCCAAAAGTTTGTTATGGGCGTTTTAGCCAAAAAAATACCCTGCTCCTAATCTCAAACTGTCAAACATGTACCTCAAAGGTGCAGTGCTTTTTAACATGATATATTTTCAAAAACAATTGACTGGGCTCACCACGCTTAGTAAAAAGTCTCTAGAGATCTATACCTCCAACTAAAAATTTCATCCAAAACCATACATTTTAATCTCAAATATCTAAATGATGGCTGCTTGATGTCACACAAATATTGCTTTTATATCAGTTGATATCACGGTCCTATAAAACACAGACCTTTACAAGCCAAAAACATGCGGAGCGTGGAACTTTTTAAAAATAGGTTTCCGCAGTTCTTAGCAATAGGTCCATGTGGATGACAGCCCTGGACCTATCTTCACAGCTGTCCAGTGCGTAGTCTACGCAGTCCGCAGCACAATGTTTATGGTCACTGAGTGTCAATCACACATTGACTTGGCGTCGCCGCGTCGCCGCATCGCGCCAAGGGCTGAAGGTTCGCCGGGCGGGTCCAGAGCCGGCGGGCACTGCTTGAGCACTGCAGGCGAGTTCATCTCCCCTGGGGCCAAACCCCAGGGCCAGCCCCACCGGCCGGCTTGCCTCGTCTCGCCTCATCTCGTCAGTCTAGGAACAAGGGGCTTCCGTCCGCCCCCAGTGCAGGCCGCTCAGGCCAGCTTGACGTACATGTCCTCTATCTGGGGCTTGAAGTACGCCTTGAGCTGCGGCCGCTTCGACTTGAGGGTCGGCGTGAGCAGGTGGTTCTGGACCGAGAAGGGGTCCGGATGCAGGTAGATGTCCTTGACCTGGAGGCGCGCGCACAGGGAAGACCAGCCGAGTTAGAGCGAGTTGAACGAGCCCCGCCCACCCCGTTGGGAAAACACTTTACTCACCTGTTCGTAATACTTGAGCCCGGCCTCCCTGCCCCAGGACAGCATGTCCTCCAGGATGAGCTGCTTGACCTGCGAGTTGTTGCACAGCACGGACAGGGTGCCCGCGATGTTGTTTTCTGTGGCCCAGCACTTGATGACGTCCACGTCGGGGACCACCACGGCCACCACGCACGACTGCAACACAGGACAGGGTTGAGCTTACTTTCCGGAGGGCCCGAGCGGCAACGCACCTAGCGTCGCCAGGCACCGAGCCAGGCAACCTAACCCACCTTGAGGGACTCGCCGTGCACGAACACCTGGTGCACGTACTGGCTGCGCGCGTACACCATCTCGATCTTGTCCGGCACGATGTACTCGCCCTGGCTCAGCTTGAAGATGTGCTTCTTGCGGTCGATGATCTTGAGCGTGCCGTTGGGCAGCCACATGCCGATGTCCCCCGTGTGGTGCCAGCCCTGGTTGTCCTTGACCTCGGCCGTCTGCTCGGGGTTCTTGAAGTAGCCCTGGAACACGTTGGTGCCCTTGACGCAGACCTCGCCCTGCCCGTTGGCCGCCATGTACTCCATCTCGGGCACGTCCACCAGCTTGACGCAGCAGCAGGCCACGGGGGGGCCGACGTGCTCGGGCACGTGGTCGCCCTGCACGGTGAGGGTGATGGGCGCGGTGCACTCGGTCTGGCCGTAGCCCTCCATCACGAGGCAGCCGGCCGCGCATCGGATGAAGCTCAGCACGGAGCCCGAGATGGGCGCCGACCCCACCACCATGAGGCGCACGCGGCCGCCCAGGGCGTCCTGCACCTTGCGGAACACCAGCACGTCCCAGAACGAGTTGTTGCGCAGGATGCCGCGCCGGATCTCGCCCTCCTTGGCCGACAGCGCCAGCGACAGCGTGAGCCGCTTGAGGAAGGAGCTGGACGCCTCCGCCATCACCTGTAACAACAAGCAGGGCGCCGTCAGGGATGCCGTCGGGGATGCCATCAGGGATGCCGTCAGGGATGCCGTCGGGGGATGCCGTCGGGGGATGCCGTCGGGGATGCCGTCGGGATGCCGTCAGGGATGCCGTCGGGGGATGCCGTCAGGGATGCCGTCAGGGATGCCGTCGGGGATGCCGTCGGGATGCCGTCAGGGATGCCGTCGGGGGATGCCGTCGGGGGATGCCGCCGGGGATGCCGTCGGGATGCCGTCAGGGATGCCGTCGGGGGATGCCGTCAGGGGATGCAACCCTCAAGTACTAGCGCCGAGCCTCATCGCCTCGCCTACCTTGTCGTAGATGCGATTCAGCACCCTGGGCACGGCCGGCATCACGGTTGGCCGCAGGGCTTTGAAGTCGTCCGTCAGCCGGTGCATGTCTCCGGTGAAGAAGCCCACGGCGCCGCCCGCCGAGTACATGGCGTTCTGGAGCACGCAAACACGCGCCAACCATAAGAGGGTTGCCGTCAGCGGCGGGAAGTGGCGCATAGTGGGCCAGAACATCGGCGTCGTCGGTCAAAACTCTAGACGCGTGTTCATCTCCAGAGTCGCCAGGCGGGACTCGAACCGAACGTGTGACCCCACCAATGGATTTCTTGTTCGGAGAGCAATCCATTGGTGGGATCGCACATTCGGTTCGAGTCCCATTTAGTGACTTTGGAGCTCAAAACGCGTCCGGAATTTTGAGCGCCTCCGCCGGTCTTCTGGTAAATCCACTGTGCGGCGTCTTGCCGTTCACTGAGAATCCAAACGCTATGAGTATAGCGTCAATTGGTGCAATACAAAAGCATTGCACATGAAATGCAATGCCTCCCCATTCCCATGCATTAGCATAGGGCATTTTCGGGATGCATTGCACGTAAGGTGCAATATGGCTGAGGCATTGCACGTATGGTGCGATATCTCAGCTGTATTGCACCATACGTGCTATACGCATAGCGTTTGGAATCTCAGTGTTGGCCTACCTGGCAGCACCGCTCCAGCATGTGGGCCAGCGGCAGGTACGAGATGAGCACGTCGGTGGCGTTGGGGCGCTGGTCACCCATCTGCATCATGACGGCGCTCATGGACGCCACCACGTTCTCGTGCGAGAGCATGACGCCCTTGGGGTTGCCCGTGGTCCCCGACGTGTAGCACACCGTGCACAGGTCGTCTTTGCTGGGCGGCTGCAACACACAGGGGCACAGGGGTGGGGTCAGGCGGACTCCTTCCGACGGTCTTTTTCGTCGCTCTGTCTCTCTCCGCCCTCGCAAGAGGACCTCCCGTGCGTGCGAGAAAGGCAGAGCGAGAGCAGGGAGAGCCACCGTACCACTTCGGGGTGGCCCTTGGCGGCGCCCATCTTCTCCACGTCGTCCAGCGTCAGGATGTCCACGAATCTGTTCTTGGCGCGCGTCATGGTGGCGGGCTTGACGGCCTTGATGACGACGATCTTCTTGAGGCACCGCGGCGCCTTCTCGAGCAGCAGGTTGGCCTTGTTGTCGTCCTCGCACACCACCACGCTGATTTCGGCTGCAACATGCCAACTCCTTAATGGAACAGTCAAGAACGAAAGCCGGGACGGCGCCGGGACTGCACTATGTGCCGGAGAGACTCGAGCCGAACGAGTCACTCCACCAATGGATTGCTCTTCGAACGAGGAATCCATTTGTGGGGTCAGACGTTCGGTTCGAGTTCTGTTGAGCGGCTCCGGAACTCAAAACGCGTCTAGAGGTTTGTCCACCTCCACCGGTCTTCTGGCACACTTTGCAGCGAGTAGGCAAAAAGCGCTACTTTAGGCCAACTTTGGATGGATCCACCATCAGCCGTGGGCTCTGGACAGTGCAGAAGTGCAGCCACTCACCTTCCTTGATGATGAAGGCGGTCGCGTCGGGGCCCAGGGTGTCATACAGCGGCACCAGCACCATGGAGTACGTGTAGGCGGCCTGCTCGGTCAGCACCCACTCGGGGCAGTTGACGGAGTAGATGCCGACGAAGGACTTGGCGCCCGGCGCCAGGCCGAGGGTCACCAGGCCCGAGCCGAGGTTCTTGGCCCGGAGGAGGGCCTCGTTGTAGTGCAGCCACTGGTAAGGCTTGGTGGGCGTCTCCCGCCAGCCCAGGCAGGGACCGTTGTCTGCGAGAGCAAGGCGACAGTGATGAGGGCGAGGAGCGCAGCGGCTGTCCGTTCCGAACTGCGCTTTCTCTGTCTCTCTCGCACCCAGGGTGTAGTGCGTAGGGGTGCGAGAGAGGGCGCTGTGTCCGGAATGAGCCCACCGCACAGATCGCACAGTGGGCCAGAGGACCGGTGGAGACGGCCAAAACTCTAGACGCGTTTTGAGCTCCAGAGTCGCTAAACAGGACTCGAACCCACACCAATGGATTCCTCGTTCGGAGAGCAATCCATTGGTGGGGTCGCACGTTCGATTCGAGTCCTATATAGCGACTCTGGAGCTCAAAACGCGTCCAGAGCTTCAGCCGTCTCCACCGGTCTTCTGGCCCACTGTGCGCCGCCGTCGGCCCGATACTCACTCGACTCTTTGGCGCCGCGGCGGAAGGTGTCGTACAGCGTCCTGGCGTCCGAGTGCAGGAAGCTGACGAACTTGCCCTCCCGTGCCTCTTTGTAGAACTTGGAGACTCGCACCATGTCAGGGCCCTGCAACAGGCGAGGCGAGAAAAGTCAAGAAGACGCCCAAAGCCCCAAGCACGCCCCGCACCGCAGCACGCCCAACCACGCCGACGAGGAGCGCGGTGGGGGCGAGCTTCGTTTATCGGTTAGCTTCTATATAATTAGATGTCGCGGCAAGCAGGCAAGTCCAAGGCTGGGCGTCGCGTCCGCCGCCCGCCCCGCCCCGCCCCCCCCCGCCCCGCCCCCCGCCCCGCCCCGCCCGCCCCGCGACCACAGCAGCTTACATCAGCCCCGCGGCAAGCCCAGCAGCGCGCCCAAGCTCGCAGAGGGGCCGGGGACCTTCGGCCAAACCAAAATGCTCGTTCTTCTCATTCAACAGCAATGCGAGCCGTTCAGCAGATTTGGTGGAGCTTGCGTTTTACGGGGAGGCAACGACACAAGGCATAGGCTAGGATTCACGAGTGCAGCAGGATGAAATGATGATTTTGTCGAGGGATTACATCAAATGGTTTTCGCTACTTGATCCTTGACCCTTGATCCTTGATCCTTGATCCTTGATCCTTTCGATACTTTTGATCTCAGGAAATGATTCTCGGCACAGTATCAGTCTCGACCTGAAAGGATTCTCATTGCCAAAGGACGACCTGGGGCCGGGCGGGGTGGGGTGGGGCGAGGCGAGGCGGGCCGCTCGTTTGGCGGTACATTAGCGACTGACACAAGTCCGGCCGTGACGTCAGTAGGGGTGGTCGGGTGGCCCTACCACGCGATTGAAATGCGCGCCACCCAAACAGGGCGTGGACAGCCAGCCCAGCCGCGCGGCCAGAGGCGATAAAGAGGCGATGGAGGTGAGACGAAGAGAGGCAACGGACAGGGAGGCGACGACGGGGAGGCAAACAGAAGCAAACAGAGGCGACTGAGACTGGGAGGCGACGGAGAAGCGTCGGCGATGCGTCGGCGGAGGGTTTATTAAATATAGCGGCTGTGTGGCGCCACGCCGCGGCCGGCAGGGCGGCAGGCAAGCCATGCCCCGGCCATGCCGGTCTTCCTGAAATTTGTGAGACGCCGCGGCCAGCTGTTCCCGGGCTGTGGGCGGGGCGCGAGGCGCGGGTCCTCCCTGCGTTCCCGACGCCTGCTGGGCTTGGTGCCATTCACGTAACTAACCTCGGCCGTCGTGGGCATCGCCCTCTCGGGCCATACCGACGCAAGGTGGTCGCCGCCAAGCCGCAGCCCAGCACCACGCCAGCTCGCTCCGAAGGGGCGTTTCGGCGCCGTGTCTCTGTCGCACATGGGGTGTTCCGTAGGGGGAGCGACGAAACAATCCTTCGAAATGAGGCGTTTGCCGAGCGTGACGAGAAGGCCACCCCGACGGCCACTGCTGCTACCCTGAGAGAAGTCCGCGTCAGGTGCACCATACGCCGAGCGCAGGTGGGGCGACGGGCAGTGCAGTGTGTCGCACTTTACGACTGCAAGACGCGGCCGTGCTCGTTACCCAGTGACCCCTGCCCCTCACTCACAGTGGCGTGCGCGGAAATTTTGAAAGGGGGGGGGTCACGCTGCGCTTTTGGCCTACTTACAGGGGGAATGTGCCGCAATTTGCCTGGCTATCTAATGACCAAAGGTGGGGTCATGCCCCCCCCCTCCCACACCACTGCTCGCTCTCTCTCTCACTGACTGACTCACTCACCCACTTGAGTGAACTCAATCTCTGTGCGCGTCCTCACCGCGTGTGCGTCTGCGCGTCCCTGGCGTGCCCCTGGCCTGGCGTGCCTCCCGCGTCGCGAGGGTGGGGTGGGGTCCCTGCTGGTTCCGCCCCTGCTTGGTGCTGCGTGGCGCTGCGCGTCGCGGATCACCTGGCGCTGTCAATGCCACGGCCAAGGACCAAGGGGGCCACGGGGTGGGGCCGGGTGGGGCCCGCGTGCTGCGGACACGTGCCGCGCACCGCCCCGCACTCCCAGAGTCCCAGACACGGCGACGTGCTGGCCGCGTGCCTGCGCCCGACAACCCACCGCTAGGGGGAGGGGGCTGGCCTCTTGACCGTGCTCCTCACACGCGGCTCGCGGCCGTTGGTCTATCTCGCTCGCACCGGTACAGAGCGGCGCACGAGTGCGAGAGAAACCTTCCACTCGGAATCAGTCAGCCCAGGCAGCCGTCTGATTCCGAACACTGCTTCGTCGCTCTGTCTCTCTCGCACCCCTACGGGCCGCCCCATGAGTAAGAGAGAGACAGAGCGACGAAAGCAGTGCTCGGAATCAGACGGCTGCTGGGGGTTGCTCTTGCTCTGCCCCACCCGCAGCAGTGCAAAGCATGGTGGTGATTGGCTGTCGTCGCTCTGTCCCGCTCGCACCCGCAGAACGCCCCGCGAAACGGCAACGAAGCGCCTGTCGAGCTGGAGGCGGGCACGTCCGTCGCGCAGGCGTGCGCGGCGGGTCACCTACCCGGAGCTCTGCCAGGCGCTCGGGCGGGCCAGGCGGACTACGCGAGACGAGGGTCCAGACGGATTCCGACAGTCGTTTCCGTCGGTCTGCCTCTGTCGCACACATTGGGGGCGTCCCGTGTAGGTGCGAGAGAAACAGCGACGAAAACAACTCTCGGAATCTGTCTCCAGAAGGAATGCGAGGGGGACTTTGACAGAGTCGTCGGCTAGGGGAGCAGGGAGGGAGACGCCAGGTCGCAGCCACACAGTGGGCCAGAAGACCGTCGGAGGCGGCAAAAACTCGAGACGCTTTTTGAGCTCCAGAGTCGCTAAACAGAATTCAAACCGTGCAGAGCAAGTGACCCCACGGATTCCTCGTTCGCAGAGCAATCCATTGGTGGTGTCACGCGCTCGGTTCGTGTCCTTTTTACAGACTCTGGAGCTCAAAACGCGTCTAGAGTTTTGGCCGCCTCCACCGGTCTTCTGGCCCACTGTGCGCCACCCTCGCCGCGCACAAGCAGTGCCGCTTGCTCGCAGCAGGTGCCATCGTCGTCTCGTCACGGCATGCCGCGCGGCGTAACAGGTTTCGCGTCGTTATACTCTGGCGGCGGCGAAATCTGTTTCTGGCACCGAGAACCAAAGAGAACCAAACCGGCAGCCGGAATGACAACAACAGTGGACCGGCCGCGGTCTGGCCGAGCCGAGGACGCCGCGGAGGCCCTGCTGGGCTATGAATGGGGCACGGGCGCGGCGCGGCGCGGGGGCACTGCACGGCACGGCGCGGGGGCACGGCGTGGCACGGGCACGGCATGGGCACGAGCATGGCACTGCACGGCGCGGCCAGACGGCGTCGGTCGAGGGTCGCCCTCGCACTGGACTACTGGACCACTGGACGAGGCCGCTGGAGTTGCTTGTCGTTGCGACCGGCTGTCCGGCTGGTATCAGCCGAGGCTCCGCCGCCGTCGAGGGCGGAGGTGGCTCGCCGCCTAGAAGCCGCCGCGCGCCGCTGGGCGCTCTGCTGCTCAGCTGCTCTGCGCTGGGCCAAGCAGTGACCCTGGACCAGAATACGACAAGGTACGCGCCAAGTGTCGCGGCTTCGAGGCGCACCGCGCACCGGGTAGCGGGTTCGGTTCGGGATGCGGCGGGTCCAAAGCCAGGGCCGAGGCCGCCAGGACGCCGCCGAGGAGGCAGCCCTTCGCCATGCCTTCGCCCTGCGGCCGTCCAGACCGTCCAGGCCGTGCAGGCCGTCCAGCACGTCGAGGTGGTCGACGGGGATATTGAGACCGAAAGTTAGTCGGATTCCTCCGGATAGTAATTCGTAACTCTGTCTTTCTCTGGCATCCCCACGGGACACCCAACGAGTGCGAGAGAGCCAGAGCAACGTCCCAAGGAGGGAGAGCCCCGCGTGACCCAAACGCAGTGCATCAGCGGGACGGGAGGCCCGCCACGCCTCGCCTCGCCTCGCCACGCCTCGCCACGCCTCGCCACGCCTCGCCACGCCTCGCCACGCCTCGCCACGCCTCGCCACGCCTCGCCACGCCTCGCCACGCCACGCTCCCCGGGCCGCGAACGGCGCAGTGGCGCGGCGCGGCGGGCAGGCGGGCAGTGTGTGCGTTCCATCAGTCAGCCGGTCGGTGGGTCGGCCGGGCGTCGGAGCAACAATACGGTGCAAGGTGATAGGCCGCGCCGTCGATGCCGGCTCGGCCACGCCAGTCAATAAACTATTCTTGGCTCGATCGCCGACTGAAACGAAAAGGGTGCGAACCCCGCTAACGTGTTAACGGCTAGGAGCGGAATGTGCTGCGCGTCGCGCCTTGCTCCCGCGGGGATTCGAAGCCGAGACGAGACGTGACGAGGCGCATTGACAAGCGGTAAGTCAAGCCCGGGCCGGGCCGGAGAGTGGGCCGACCGCTACTCAGTGGGGTCAGAGGACGGCGGCGGAGGCGGCGCAAAAGGCTCGCGACGCTTTTGGCTCCAGAGCGAATGGGGCTCGAACGAGTACGCGTGGGCGTCCACGTTCGGCTTCGCGTCGAGTCCCATGTGCGTGGGCTCACACGCGTCGGTTCTGCAGCCTCGACGTCGGCCATGTGCGCTCGGGCCGCAGCGCGGGTGCGGCGGGGGCGTGCAGCGCGTCCACCGGCCATCTGGCTGCGCGGACTGTGCGCTGGCGCGCAGGGCGCGTGCGGGCGTGCGGGCGTGCGGGGTCGCGCGTGCGGCGTGCGCGGCGTGCGGGGCGTGCGCGCGTGCGGGCGTGCGCGGCTGGGGCGTCGGGCGTGCGGGCGTGCGCGGCGTGCGCGGCGTGCGGGCGTGCGGGCGTGCGGCGTGCGCCCGGCCAGGCGTGCCGGCTCGGCGTCGTGACGCGAAGGGCGAGGCGCCGCGTGGGCGGGGCGGGGCGCACGCGGAATGTCCCATCTCAATCCCGCGTGCCTTTCGCGGCGGCTCTTGTGCGCTGCAAGCTGCACCCTCCCAACACTATTCTCCTCCAACAACGTCGTCGTACGAGTCAATCTGTAGATCCCCTGTCTGCGGGCGAGGCTGGCGTGGCGCGGGGCTGCCGAGCGATTCAGAAGAGTCGTTTTGTCGCACTCATGGGGCTCTCCGTTAGAGTGACAAACCGATCTTCGGAATGTCGCTCGGCTGGCGGGGTACGGGGCCGGGGCCTTCTGGTACGGCGCCCTGGTCGCGGCCCGTGGCGCAGCGCTGCAGTGCGTCCTCCTGCACACTTTACCGCCACTGCGCCGTCCGCACCGGGGCTGTCGTCAGGCCCTGGCCTAGTCGACTGCAACATTTTGTCCGAGGGACAGGCTGTTCTTTGTGATGCCTGGGCACTGTAACTGGCTGCACGGCGTGGCACAGAAGGCACAGCACCCGTGCCAACACCAACGCTGCCCGGCCGAGGCCGCGTCCGTGGTGCGTGCGTCGCCGTGGTGCCGTCCCCGTGGCGTCCGTGGGCCTCGGTCCCACAGTGGGCCAGAACATCGGTGGAGGCGGTCAAGTCTAAACGCTTTTTGAGCTCTACAGAGAGCTCCCTCTTTCGGAGAGCAATCCATTGGTGGGGTCACACGTTTCGTTCGAGTCCTGTTTAGCGACTCTGGAGCTCAAAACGCATCCGGAACTTTGACCGCCTCCGCCTGGCCCGATCGGCTGCTTACTTTCATGATTTCCGACTGGCTGTTCAAGCCGATGGGGATGCGGATGGGCTCGGCGCCGCAGCCGCAGCAGCCGGTGGAGTTGGACGGCGCCATGTCGCGACGTGGGGCCGCGTCGTCCGCGTCGTCACAGCCGGCCGCCGCCTCGTCTACCCGTTGTCACTGTAGTCACCTCGCGGTCGCGCTGGTGTCACACGGGTGTCACACTGGTGTCACACTGGCGTCACGCCGAAACGGCCGACAACACGCGATGGGCCGCGCCTCGCGTCGCGTCGTCTCGTCCTCGCGGGGGTCGCGTCGGAGAGTCGGAGCTCCACTGGGGAGGTGGCGCTGGCCGGGCCGCGGGCCGGTCTGGTCCTGGCTGCGGCTGCCAGCGTGCCAGCGTCCACGCACGGCCCCGACCACGGCTGCCACGGCACGGGTCCAAGCCCAAGCCCTGGGGACGAGCCGAGCCTCGAGCCAAGCCGAGCCACGGCCAAGGATAGGAAGCCGAGCCGAGCCGAGCCCGGGCGCGTCAACACGGTAGACACGTGCGCCGAGCAGGCAGGCAGCCCGCCACTCCCAGCTGCTTCATTAGCCACCCCCTGTCGTCCGGCGTCCGGCAGCGCGGCCAGCGTCTATAGGCTGGTGTCGGAAGCCCGGCCCGGCGGCGCAGGAAGCTCCCCGCCCTACTCTGGAGTAAAACCACCCAGTGGAGTTATCATTTTCGTTCCACGAGCGTCCGCGTGCCCTGCTTCCCGCTCTGGAACTTTCGACGGCCGCGTCGAACCGTGTATTGGGTCCCGCATCTCTGTTTTGTTTCGCTCGGCTCTCAACATGTCGGGGATTGGCGCACGTCGGCCAGCCAACAAGCAGCACTAGAAACTCGAAACTCGAAGCTCGAAGCGAGGCAGGCGATCGCGCAGAAGCTGAAAGCAAAAGGCGAAAGGCCGCGCAGCGCAGAGTGCTGCCGCGCCTGGTCGCGCTCCGCTAGACGGCCAAGCCAAAGCCGAGCCAACAGGGTGCCCCGCCCCGCCCCACCCCGCCCCGCCCCACCCCGCACCGCCCCGCACCGCCCCGCACCGCCCCGCCGCATCTCGTCACAATCGACCCGCGTCGTGTTGATTGACTGAGATGTTTGTTGGGGCGGTGTGCTGTGTGCGGGCCAAGTGCTGGCCGAGCTGGCCAACGAGGGCAGTGTTTTGGCTGGCCTGCCCCGCCCGGCCCGGCCCGCCCCGGCCCGCCCTGCGCGGCACCACACTCGACATTCACGTCCGTTTCGACACGCCCTAGAGGGTGCATCGTGCCATGACGCAGCAAGGAGACCGCGGGACGGGGGACCCGTACACTGGCGATGGATGGGTGCAGCGCCGCGCACAGCGGGATCTCCTGGACCGGGTGTCACTGGTGCAAGTGTGAGCACCGGCGGGGAGGCCACGTCAAGGCCGCGCCAAGGCCGCGCCAAGGCCGCGCCAAGGCCGCGCCAAGGCCGCGCCAAGGCCGCGTCAAGGCCGCGCCAGGCTGTGCATCAAGGCCGCGTCAAGGCAGCGTCAAGGCCGAGCCAAGGCCGCACCAAGGCTGCGCCAAGGCTGCGCCAGGCTGTGCATCAAGGCCGCGCCAGGCTGTGCATCCAGGCTGCGCCAAGGCCACGTCAAGGCCGCGCCGAGGCCGCGCTCAGCACATCACTGATGAACATGCAGCAAGCCGTTTAGAGAATGAGTTTATTGTGCCTCTGGGCGCCTGTGGCGCCATGGGGTCCTCCTCGTTGGGTGCTGTAGGCAACGCGGCCGTCACCGACAAGTATGATGTCACACTGTGCAACAACACCCCGACGCCTCGCGGGCTCAGACACGTGACGACGCCGCGTACCTGCGCCCCCTCCGCCCCCTCCACCGCCAGCTATACATAGCCTGGCCATCTCCCAGCATCCCCCTCGCCCCCGCCCCCTCCTTTCCGACTTCCGATACATCGCATTCGGTGTTGCCCTTATGGCCATCGGGTCTGCGTGCCGAAGGTGCCGACGGTGTTGACGGTGCCGTCGCCACGGACTCACTTTTGGCTGAGTCCCCGTCTCAGGGTCGCGTCGCGCGTAGGTGAACTTCGGCGAACTTGGGCGGAGCGTGGGCCGCCGCTCCGAGCCCTCCCCCAGCCCCCGCGAGGTGCTCTCCCCTCCCCCGTTTCTGTTCCAGAGGCTTCCGCGCGCTTCCGCGCCCGGACCGCCTGCGGTAGGTGACACGCCGCCCACGGCTGCGCGACGGGCCAGCCGCCCACCAGCACGACAGGCGTTCCGCGAATCAGAAGTCTGCGCTCTGTCTCTCTCGCCTCCCTGCAGGACCATATGGAAAGCCCCACGAGTGCGAGTGGGATAGGGCGACGGCTGCTCTGCCGGCCGGGCCGGGGCGCAGCGCGGGCCGCGGCGTGGCCGTCAAACGGTCCATTAGCTTGATTGCATTTCATCCCCGACAGACGAGGGCGGCCTTGGCGGCCTTGGCGGCGGATGCTCTCGGCTCTCAGGTGGAGTGGGCATCTGCAGGCACGTCGAACGGGATGGCGGCGCGACACACGGGGATGTTGTTGTTGTTGTTGTTCCGAGCGCACCCCGCCAGTGCCGGCAGGGCCGGCAGTGCCATCCCAAACACGGGGCTCAAGGAGCGGCCGCGTGGGCGCGTGGGTCGCTGTGGCTAGGCTTCGGCTATCCCTATCCGCCGCGGATCAATAGGAGCCACGGCCCACGCCTCGCCGCGGACCGGACGCGCGGAAAAGCGGATGGCAAATAATGAAAGAGGGCCGCCACTCCGCCATTTAGCCGCGCCTTGCAGCCCCGGCCCGGCCCGGCCCGGTCTGCCACGAGGGGGCTATTGATTTCGCCTCACGGCTTCGGCGAGGCATCGGCGAATGCGGAAGGGCCGCGGCAAAGACAAACTTCCTCCCCGTCATCGACGTCGACATCGACCTCGACATGCAAGGAATGGCACCCAGTGGGTCCGAAGACTGGTGGAGGGTCAAAATTTTAGACGCGTTTTGGAGCTTCAGAGTAGCTAAACAGGACTCGAACCGAACATGTGACCCCACCAATGGATTAGACTACTCGTTCGGAGGGCAATCCATTGATGAGGTCGCACGTTCGGTTCTAGTCCCATTTAGCGACTCCGGTGCTCAAAACGCGTCTAGAATTTTGGCCGCCGGCACCGATCTTCCGGCCCACTGTGTGGCAGGGAGGGGGAAGGCGACGTTCGCGTGAGTCAGGTCACGTCCCGAGAAGGCCGAGAAGGCCGAGAAGGCCGAGAAGCCGACCTTCTCACCTACTCGTGCCACGCCATTCGCCTTCGTCCTCCATGTCCCCCGTGTCCGCCATGTCACCCATGTCCTCATTGTCCTTAATGTCCTCCAGGTCCGCTCCATGCCCTCCAGGTACTCCAGCTCCTCCAGGTCCTCCAGGCCCTCAAGGCCCTCCGGGTTCGCTGGCAACCGACCGTCACACCGCACTACTACACTCACCGGCAGCTCGACGCTCTGGGTGTCCAGGGGCACGAGCGGCGCGCGCGGCGTCGGCCTGCTGGCCAAGTAGTACGCCGAGGCGGCCGCGGCCCCGGTCAGCGCGAGCGCGCCCGCCGGCCCGCCGATGTAGTCCAGGTACTGCTCCATCTCCTCAACTGCAAACAACACACTTACTCAGCGACGATGACGACAACAACAAGGACAACAAGATGCAGCTCGCACCGCGCTCGTAAATAGCACCTCGCGAACGTCGCACGAAGGAAGATTAATAAATAAAGGTGGACACCGCATGAGGGGAGATAAATAAATGGAGGCGGACGTCGCATGAGGGAAGATGCATAAACGAAGTGACACATCACGTAAAGGAGGATAAATAAATGAAATCGCAGACATCGAGTTAAGGAGGTTAAATAAATGAAGTCGCTGACATCGCGTAAAAGAGGATAAATAAATGAAGTCGCGGACATCACATGAAGAGAGATAACTAAATGAAAAGGGAATATGTGCCGCTCTCCTCGCCCCCTCACCCCCCGCACCACCACCACACAACAACAACAACAACAGAGGAGGAATGCCCCCGCCCCCCTCTCCCGGATTGCACGATGACCCGCTCCCCTCCCCCTCCTTCCCCAGCGGCGCGCGGCGCTCCGTTAGTGTCCCAGTTATTTGATTCGCGGTCCGGTGCCATGGAGGCAGAAGCAGGCGAAGCAGGCAGGCCTCCCGGAGGAGGAGGCGACGGCTTCGCGGCCTTTTCAGCATTACCAGCAAACAGTCGCGACAAACCCGCAGCATTCGCAGAATTTTCGGGATTCCTAGCATGCGCAGCATTTCCAGCATTGACAGCATTCCGCGGTCGGTCTTCGCGCCGAGACGTGCCGCGTGCCGCGTTCCGCGTTCCAGGACGAGGGGGACGATTTTAAAAACTCCCGCCCCGTGCCGGCTGGTCCCGGCTGGTCCCGGCTGGTCCCGGCCCGTCCCGGCATGTCCGTGAATGCCGGCCATGCCGGCTGGCAGGTTTGCGGGTCAACGGCCCCCGAATTCCCGCCATGGTCCCGCGCATCATGCTTACGCCATGCCACGCCACGCCGTGCCACGCCGTGCCACGCCGTGCCACGCCGGGACGAGCCTTCCCTTCCCTTCCGCTTCCTGCCAACGGTTTTGCTTTCCTCCACTCGCCTCGCGCTCGCGCCTACGGGCCCTTTGTGTAGGCTGGGGCCGCCGGGGCCGCCGGGGCAAGGACTGCACCCGCAAACTGGCCCTGGCCCTGGCTTCGGCCGAGAGGACCGTTCGAAGGGACCAGGCCCGTCCGTCGGCCACTTGGGTCGCCAGCCGGGACCTCGCGAGGCGAGGGCACGGCCAAAGCACGGCCAAGGCGACCGCACATAATGGTCCCAAGTTAACGGCTCCGCCAAAACAAGAACAAGACCGAGAAGGGCCCGGGCCGGGCGTCGAGGCGGCCGGTCGAGGCGGCCGGCCGGTACGGCGGGACTGCGGAGGGCCGGACCGTGGCCGGGCAGCGCCGGGCCCGCGGAAGGACGGACGGAAGGGCACAGGCTGCGAGCGGATAGGGAAAGGAAACGGAGTCAACTTCGACCGACTGAGGAGTTGCTCACGGACACGGCATTCCCTCGGACACGCGCGCGCGCGCGCGCGCACACACACTCTCTCTCTCTCTCTCTCTCTCTCTCTCTCTCTCTCTCTCTCTCTCTCTCTCTCTCTCTCTCTCTCTCTCTCTCTCTCTCTCTCTCTCTCTCAACCGCGGACACTCACAGGTCCTTCGCTTCACTTTAGGGCACTTGCTCTTCTTCGGGGGCTTGGGCTTGGGCTTCTTCGTGCTGGCCGCCAGGGTGGGCGGTTTGGTCGGCTTCTTTTTCTTCTTCTTCATGGTCGACGAGGACTTGGTCTCGAGGAGCCACAGGGTGGCGGCGGAGCCCTCGCACGCGCGACGCGGAGGGACACTTGCTCACGCCCGGAAACGACGGGGAACGACCGGAAGCGATAGGGAACGACCGGACACAACCGAAGGGAGTGCTGGAAGTCGAGGACTCGGCGTGACTGGAGCACGGTAAGCCTGGACTGGGCCGATCCGGGCGGGGCGGTGCCGGCCTGTGCCGATTCGTACGGAGGGGAGCGCGTCGAGACCACGAGTGGCGCGGAGCAGCACGGAGGGACTCGGACGGAGTGGCGGAGGACCGCCGCCACGGGCCGGCCCAGCCCGCGCAGCCCGGCACAGCACGGCACAGCCAGGACCACGACGCCGCCGGAGCCGCAGCCCCGCAGCCGCACCGGAGCTCCGGACGGCGTCGGTGGGAACGGGGGCCGGAGCGGCAGAGCGGCGGGCTGCGGGGCGGTGACGTCGGCGAGCCCGTCCGCCCGCCAGCTGCGGCCGCGCCACGCCCCGCCCCGCCACGCCCCGCCACGCCACGCCACGCCCCGCCACGCCACGCCGGCCGAAGAGGTACCCGAGTCACCCTTTGTCGTGGTGGCAGAGCGCTGCAGACTCAAGCGGGGGATTGCACTTCACTTTGGGTCGCACTGAACACAGGATTCGCGACTACACAAGACTACGCCGAGAACCCGAGTGTCGTGCAGGCGTGCAGGGCAGGGACAGAACGGGATAAACGGCTCGATTCGGGCGCGGGTGCAAACGGCAGTGTGGGTGGACGAAAGTTTTCAATCGATGGCCGTACACCGGGCGACTCCGGGCGACTCTGGAAACGGCACGGACTTCATCGACCTATTTGTGCGTGAGTGCCCAGCCCGCCACACGGCAAACCCGAAAGCCCAAAAGCCTCCGAGAGTCCCCGCAGCCCGCAGCGACCACAAGCCTGTAAGTCAGCGGAAAGCGGGGATTTGGGGCCTTCATCGGGGAGCCCACGTTGCTCGCTGCCCTGCCCAGTGAGCGCGGCGCCGCCGGGGCACGCCGCCGACGCAGCGACCAGGACCGGCTGCACCTGCCGTTCGGCGCTTCAAGATGAGAAATACAACATCCTTGGCGGCCCGCGGCGCCCCGTCGCCGTCCCCGCCATGGGCCGAGCCATAGGGCCGAGCCATAGGGCCGAGCCATAGGGCCGAGCCATAGGGCCGAGCCATAGGGCCGAGCCATAGGGCCGAGCCATAGGGCTGAGCCATAGGGCCGAGCCATAGGGCCGAGCCATAGGGCCGAGCCATAGGGCCGAGCCATAGGGCCGAGCCATAGGGCCGAGCCATAGGGCCGAGCCATAGGGCCGAGCCATAGGGCCGAGCCATAGGGCCGAGCCATAGGGCCGAGCCATAGGGCCGAGCCATAGGGCCGAGCCATAGGGCCGAGCCATAGGGCCGAGCCATAGGGCCGAGCCATAGGGCCGAGCCATAGGGCCGAGCCATAGGGCCGAGCCATGGGCTGCTGCTGGCTGGGCCGCCTGTCCAGGACAAAGGGCGTCGCGGCGTCGCGGTAACGGTTTCGTCCGCGTCGTTTTGGGTTCGGCCGGTTCGGCCCTTCCTGGCCATTCGCACTGCAGCGTTGGTAACGCATCGGACTGCGAATCGAGTTCGGCACGCCGCGGCCACTGCCAGGGCCACTGCCAGGCACAGTGGTACTTGTAACGGTTTGGGCCGGGCACCGCCCCCTCCCCCTCCCCGTCCTCGCCTCTCCGAAAACCGCAATAAAAAGGTAGCTCTCCCCACCTCGTCCTCCCCGATCCGCCCTTCTGGTCCGTGGGTGGCTGCCGCCAACAGCACGCCGAGCCCAGCACGCCGTCGACAGGGAAGCTCTCCGCCTGTCACCATAGGACGTAGCCGTCAAAGTAGCCAAGGTTCACAGACCCGTCAAGATTTTCTCGCGATTTTTCCAACTTCCAACGATTTTTTCGGCCCCAACCAAAATGCCCTGTCCCTTTTCTCCGCGTTGCACGGCGTTGCACTTGTAAGGCTTGTAACGGCCGACGATGGGCGTGGCGGCGTGGGGTGCTTTGGTGGGAGTTGGCGCTTCATCGGAAGAGTGTGACAGAGCGACTCACTGCCCACAAGAAAGGCCGACTTGATGCGTCACTGTGTAACAGCCGTGGAGCACTCCCCTCTTTTCATTCTCCGAGTCCGTCCGAGTCCCTGCAGACGCCAAGGAGGCCTCGTCACTGCAGCGGGCCGGGGGCCGCAGGGCCGGGCCGGTGAGGGCGTAAATTGGATTGGCCCGCCCGCCTAGACATCGATCCTGCAGGCCGCGCCTGCACCAAATCATGCATTGCTCAGCTATTGCTTCAATAATAAGTTTGGGCAGGGGCCGAACCGGCTGTCGGCAGCACCCCGACGACTCCACATCAAATTTTCACAGCCACACAAACTAGTCTTTTTGGGGGAAGGGAAGGGGTGATTACGAAGGAAATTGTGGCTGAAGTATAGGAAACTCCGTCTCGGACACCAACAAAGCGACAAGTGGGTGCACCGACGGCCAAAACTCTTGACGCGTTTTGATCTCCAGAGTCGCGAACTGAGCTTGTGACCCCACCAATTGATTCCTCGTTCACACGTTCGGTTCGAATCCCATTTAGCGACTCGAGCTCAAAACGGGTCCGGGATTTTGACCACCTCCGCCGGCCTTCTGGCCCACAATGCGACGTCGACACGTTGGCAGTACGCGGCGTGCAGCCTCCGATCACAGCCTGGCGCCGAATTCACAACAACTCTGCGTCTGTTTGCCGGGAATTCCCTCTGTTCAATCGGGCCTCTTCGACGGCCTGCCGCTCCACTAGGTAGCGATCCGTCCGCGGCGACGCGGCGCCACGCCGTGATACACTTCTTGGGGAGGGGGAGGCGGGTCGTCGACCTGGTCACTGGAGCGCGGAGTGGCGCGGCGCGGCGCGGCGCGGGGCGGGGCGGGGCGGGGCGGACAACAGCTGAGCGAGAGGCGAACCTGGCGGCTGGCGCGGCCCCGTGGCGGCTCGGCCAACAACGGCCAGCAGCACGCGGTGCGTGGCGTGCGGTGTGCGTGGGCGCTGGACGCGCTGGCCGCCGTCGCCCTCCACCTGCATGACGAGACAAGTTGCGGTGTTGCGATTCCGACGCCGTTCGCCGAAACGCGCGCCGTCAAGCAACAAGATCGCGCAAGATCGTCATGCTCGTCCTCTGCCTCCTCGTCGCCGTCATCGCGGTGCGTCCGGGTGCGCTCGCCGGGCCACGATGTAGCGGTTCCTGCAAACAGGACTGCCTCTCGGCGCGCCTCAAATGAAGGCGGAAAAGCCCCCCCCCCCCGCGAAACCACTCCCAAATGACAATGGTCCCAAGCGTCACGATTGCGTCCATTGCGTGGTGCAGCGCGAGATTGCGACTGTCAACGCGAGGGTTCTTCGGCGTCGGAGACACTGGAGTGACGCGAGGACGGATTTGAAGTGCGTTCTTAGGAAACACCCCCAGGTGCGTACTTGCCATGCACCATCACAACGAGTGCACACAAGCACTCGCTGGTGGCTGTACTTGCAAGCATGCACCTGTAGGTTTGTAATCTGTAGTGTCTACTGCTTGCTTCCGCTTCCAGGTCGTGCAGAGCGATGACGTCGGCGGCGGCCCGGGTTGCGCTAGCCCCGCGGCCAGCGGCCCGCGCCTCTCATAGCGGCACTGCCGACACTGCCCTCCCGCTAGACCGACTCAGGCCCGGGGGCCGGGCCTGCGCCCCGCTAGAGGTCCAGCCCACACCGCCGCACCAGGACCCCGCCCAAATCTGCGGCTCTCTATAGCTATCCATCCGTGGATAGCCTTCAAGTCCGTTGAACCTTGCGCAAGGCCCTCTTACACTGGACGCCGCCGCGGCGCACGAGTGCCAGGGCCAGGCCGCAACGCCCAGCCACGACGCCCAGCCACGACGCCCTGGCCGCCAGGGAGCAACGAACCCGCTCTCCGCAGACTGCCCGCTGGAACCTGCGCGCCAAATCGCCAGTCGCGGTCCTCGGTCCTCGGTCCTTCCCCCCGAAGGCCCACAGGCCCCAAGGCCCACAGGCCCCGGCCCCAAGGCCCAGCCGCCAGTCACCGCAGTCTTGGGCCTGAGTACACCGAGTCCTCGGGGCGGCTTCGCGGCTTCGGCGCCGCGTGGATGGCATGGAATGGCACGGATGACAACGGGGTCGTGCAATCGATGAGTAACAGGCCATGGCGGTAGCCCCAGGCGGTGGTGGCGGTAGCCCGTGGCGACAGCACGTACGCCCAGAGGCCCCGAGAGGCCACCGATGACGGCAGGGTGCAGGGCGGCGGGGGGCAGGCCGGGGGCAGGCGGACCAGGCGGCCGCCCCCGCCGTGGCGCCACCTCGGGGAGCACCCCATTGGTCGTCGCACAGCCAGGCACAGCCAGGGACAGCCAGGCACAGCCCTATAATAGCGTGATGGGCGGCCCACCACTGCCCACCGCCGACCACCGCGCGCGTGCGGCCCGGTCGCCGTCGCCGTCGCCCGCCTCATCATCCTGTTCTTCCGCTGCACTGCTTGCACCGGGGTGGACGTCTGAATGAGGCATGAGCCATGCCACCGTGGCCGGCGCGTTCCCAGGGATGAAGTCACGCAGGTCATGACCCGCGGCCCGTAATGGTAATGAAGGTGGACAACCCGCTACACGGTCCGCCTGCAAGAGGCTACCCGCTGCACGCCCTGCCTCAAGGTAGGCAACCCACTGCACGAATCACTTGAGGGTGGGCAAAACGTGCAGCATATCCACTGCAATTTGGATGGAAAGACTTCACGCCAAAATATAGCGAGAGCGAGACATAAAAGTCTCGCCAAGATTTGGTCAGACCTGAAAGTCTCGCCAAAATTTGGTCAGACAAAAAAGTCTCGCCACAAAACGGCCATAAAAGTCTCGCCATTTTGGGGTGAGACTTTTGTGTATGGCCGTTTTGTGGCGAGACTTTTTTGTCTGACCAAATTTTGGCGAGACTTTCAGGTCTGACCAAATCTTGGCGAGACTTTTATGTTTTGCCTCTGGAGTGGCGAGAAGTCTGACCTTTGGATTTGTAGTGTCATCCCCCCCCCCCACACACAAGCACACAGGATCTGCGCTCCCCAGTGCGACTCCGCAGTGTGTTGTCACTCTGCCTCCCTCGCATCCCTCAGACCCTCTGAGGCCGTCTGAGAAAAACGGAGCGACGAAAACCCAGGACGCCGCCCACGGCCCTCACGGCTGCCCCAAGGACCCCAAGGGGCTGGCGGCGAT